AGAGAATACCCTCCCACCGGAACAGCCATCTCAACAAGCCGGTCGGATAAAGCTGGTGAAGAAGAAGAAGAGGAGGAGGAGGAGGAGGTTCGGCTGAAGCGGTTGAACTTCGGGGCGAGGAGAGATAGGGTTCGGACTTGTTTGCGACTAAGGCAAGGCAATGTGAGGCAGAAAGACCGAGTCGTACCAAGAAAAAGGAAGAAGAGGATAGGCCAGAAGGGAAGAATTATTAGCAAGTGTGGTTTGACGCATGTCGTCGGAGCTGTCGTCGGAGAATCTCCCGTGACGGTAGATCAGACGGAGGTGTGGGAGGCGATAGGCAAAAAGCGGACAACGCATCCGCGAATAGAGAGAGGTCGTGTGCGTCCTCGTGTGTGAAGAGGAGTCATGGTTGAAGGAACAACGTGGTCCTCCTTACTCTCTCTTGTTTTGCGCGGGAAGTTGGAACTCATAGCCCCTCCTTGCATTTCCAGACATTGTCCATCTGGAGGCTTGGCATTCTGGGAGAACGGCACGGCAGCGACCACGGGGTATCGAGTAAGGTAGGTACTGAGAAGGAAGTAAATGACACCACTTGGATGAGAGTGGCAATGTTAAGCACCCATTCTCTGCTCAAAGTTCGCCCAAGCTGTGTGGCCATCCTGGGGATCGTCTCATTGTGTAAGTGTGCGCGAGTTTTACGTACCTTGAAGGTAAGGTAGCTCTAGCTTGTCTGGGTTGGGTTGGATGGTTGGCTTTCGTTGGACGGATAAGTTGTAATAGGTTTGTAAACCGGATGGTAAGCTTAGTCGGACAGAAAACTCACAAGAGGCACATGGCACATGAACATCCATCACAAAAAAGAAGGTCCAAGACTCTCCAATACTCCAATAGCTCTCCAAATAAAGAAGGGGTCGGCAGCGCCCCGATCTACAATTTTAGCGAGAGTTTTCCCGTCCGCCTATCTTACCCGCTAACCCAACCCGCGCCCCTGGGATGGGGCGTGGAGTTCGCTCTTTCTCTTCGCCTGTATTATTTGCAGACACACACACACACGCATACACACGGCACACGCAGCACCACACCACACCATACCACACCTCGAAAACCCCAAGAACGAACGGATACTTCGCCGCGGGGCACACACATGGACCATGGTTCCAAGAACAATCCGCACGGCGCGGGGGGAGCCAATGGTATTTCTCCCAGACTTTACAGCGAGAATTGAGCTCCTTTCAGGCCAATTCATTGGTCCGTCCAGCGCGCACCACCACCACCATTACTCTCCGCGGACCACCACCCACACACCATTGAGCCGTCGAACGCGCACCTTAGCAAACGCAGTTAATTAGCACGATTAGGTGGCCGTCCACCCCGCGCGGGCAGCAAGTAAACTCGGGACTGACTCCAAGGAGGACCAAGGGCCACCACCCGCATGCGGCGCTTGCATGCACCGGCCTGTCATCGAGAGGGACGATCTTCCGCACCGTGGCCCACACACGCACGACGTTTCGTGTCCCGCCTTGGTTATTGCCAGTGTCTTTCGACCACCTTGTTTTGTCTGACTTGGATCCAACTTGAGAGACAGAGCGAGACCAAAGAGAGAGCGAGAGAGGGGGCGGGGAAAGACAGTTGCGCCCCCGGGCTTAGGTCGACTGTGGCCCGGGTTGAGAGGATGTAGGTATGTATATAAGTCAGAGCGAGGAGCTTCCAGGCGCGCAATCCTTTTCTTGAGCTTGCAAGCTAGTTCTGGTGTGTTGCTCTGTCTGCCCTGCGCTCCTCTACTCTGTACTGAGCATATCTACTGTCCCACTTCCTTCTTTCTTCTTCCCCCCCTTCTCTCCTTCTTTCACACCCAATTGCAATCTCTCTAGGTAGACTGACTTTCAACAGCCCTGTCAGACTGGTTTTCGGTATGGGTTCGATCACTCTGAACAACGCCAGCAGAGCCTGGTGGAAGGATGCTGTCATCTACCAGATCTACCCCGCCAGCTTCAAGGACGGCAACGGAGATGGCCTCGGCGACGTCCAGGGCATGATTGACAAGGTTGATTACCTCAAGGACCTGGGCACTGACATCGTATGGGTCTCGCCCATGTACGCCAGCCCTCAGGTCGATATGGGCTACGATATTTCCGATTACCAGGACGTCCACCGCCCCTACGGCACCGTCCGCGACATGGAGGTCCTCATTGAGGAATGCCACAAGCGCGGTATGAAGCTCATCCTTGACCTCGTCGTCAACCACACCTCGGACCAGCACAAGTGGTTTCAGGAGTCGAGATCCTCAAAAACGAACCCCAAGCGGAACTGGTACATCTGGAAACCTCCTCGTTACGCCGAGGACGGCACCCGTCTGCCTCCCACCAACTGGCGAAGCCACTTCAGCGGTAGCACATGGGAGTGGGACGAGCCCACGGGCGAGTATTACCTGCACCTCTTCGCCAAGGAGCAGCCCGATCTCAACTGGGAGAACGAGGAGACGCGCGAGGCCATCTACGAGAACGCCATGCGCTTCTGGCTCGACAAGGGCGTCGACGGCTTCCGCATCGACACGGTCAACATGTACAGCAAGGGCGTCGACTTCCGCGACGCCCCCATCATGAACAAGAACGCCTACGAGCAGCCCGCCTACATGATTTACTGCAACGGCCCGCGGATACACGAGTTCCTGCGCGAGATGAACGCAAAAGTCCTCAACCACTACGACACCGTCACCGTCGGCGAGCTCCCCCACACCCCGGACCCGAAACACGTCCTCAAGTTCATCAGCGCCGCCGACCGCCAGCTCGACATGGTCTTCCAGTTCGACATTGTCGACCTCGGTCAGGGCGTCGGATACAAGTACCAGGCCCAGAAGTGGACCTTGCCCGAGCTGAAGCGCATCGTGGCGAAGTGGCAGCAGTTCATCGAGGGTACCGACGGCTGGACGACGGCCTTTTGCGAGAACCACGACCAGGGCAGGTCCGTCTCGCGCTGGGGCAGCGACTCGCCCGAGTGGCGCGAGACGTCGGCCAAGATGCTGGCGCTCATGATGTGCTCGCAGACGGGCACGCTCTTCGTCTACCAGGGCCAGGAGATCGGCATGACCAACGTCTCGCGCAGCTGGGGCATCGAGGACTACAAGGACATTGAGGCGCTCAACTACTACGACGACATCAAGAAGGAATTTGGCGAGGGCAGTGACATGCTGAAATACGTCATGGACGGCATCAACCTGCTCGGCCGCGACAACGCGCGCATCCCGATGCAGTGGGACGACAAGCCGTACGCCGGCTTCACGGACAACAAGAACGGCGCGTGGATGCGCGTCCACGACGAGTACCGGTCCATCAACGTCGCCAAGCAGGAAAAGGAACCGGGCTCGGTGCTGAACTTTTGGCGCGAGATGCTGAAGTTGCGCAAGGAGGAGGGCGAGCTTCTGACGCACGGCGCGTTTGAGCTGTTTGACGTGGAGAACAAGGAGACGTTTGTGTATAAGAAGACGCGCGGGGGCCGGAGCGCCGTCGTGGTGTTGAACTTCACGGGTGAGGAGCAGGCGGTCGAGGTCCCCGGCGAGGGCGCCAAGATCCGGGTCGGAAACTACGACGATGTCAAGGAAAGAGTTGCTTCCGAGAGCGGCAAGACGGTCTTGAGGCCCTGGGAGGGACGTTTGTATCTGCAGGGTTGAAGCTGTGTAAGCATGTGGTTCTTGGATATACCTCCTGAGTTATAGGGTAAAATGGTTTGGTGGAACAAGGTCTAGTGCAGATTTGCGGATTGCGCTATTTTGATTGATGGTCTATAGAGAGATGATCGGCCTACTGTGGCTAGAACTTTTTGGGATTTTTGTTGTTCAGGATATCAAATGAAGCTATTCCCAACTCCTCAAGACTGCCTCTTTGTACCTTTTGGGGTCGCTAAATGAATCAATAGCCCCCAAAGTTGGGGTAAGCTCCCTTGCAGTGTCCGTGCTCCCCCTCTGTCGGCTCCCCGCATGCGGTTGCATCTCCACACCATCTTTAATCCTCCAACATCCATCCAACTTCCCCCAACACGTACTTTCTCAACCAAAGTTTGCCTGGAGAGCCGATCCAAACAAATTTTCGGTGGAAGAAGGAACTGGCTGATTCATAGCCATTTTCAAACTGCGATAAAGAGACTTTTATCGTATGATTATGCTGCTTTTGGCACTCTTGAAAGCTACTGCGCTTAGTTCCGGGAAAGATGGATTGTGAAGTGTGTATAAGAGCGTCAGAGAAAAGGAGGAACCCAAGGCGGTGTCTTGCATGGACAAAGTACGCCGAGCTAGATACCCTTCTAATTTTCCAAAGCCATATGCTTTCACATCATTCTGTTAACCAAGTCGGCTGGCTTTTCTTTCTTCTTGCTTACAGTCTGGCAAACTAATGCCCTTCATCCTTGTACAGATTGGCGTTGCATGGCATGCTTGAAAGCCCGCAAAGGAGGTTTGTCGTTTCGACGGAATATCTATCCAAAGCCGACTTTCAACCACGTTTGAGAACCTACGAGGTGCTTTATAACATGAGATCGAGATGAGACCCCATGGAACTAGGTCTTTCAGTCGAGATCACTTGAGGAACTCTATTGCTTGATTCTAGAGGATCATGTTCATTTCGGCTTCCTCTTTGGTGACGGTCTCGCATCGTGTGGAAAACACGTGCCACGTTGGGCAACATTGACCGTTGCCAGCATAGTTAAGAACGCGAGCGTATCGTTTGATTTCACTTGAAAGCCGGGTATCGTCGATGTCGAGGAGATCCTTGCCACAGTGAATCCTGAAAAGCCTCCCTTGTCAAGGTTGAGGACTGGACAAGGGCTGTCTTTTGGTTCTACATTATTCGATGTTAAGAATTCCCAATCTCCGCTCTAGTACCAGTCACGATCCACTTATGGCCTTATATAATGCTACGAATACGTGCGAGCGCTTAAGCAATGATGAGAGGTATCTATGATAAATAGCTTCTCACTTCTCCTATCTCTCGAACTTCCTGCTTCCCATCCAACGCACCACAGCCAAGATGCCTTCCCTCAGTCAAAGCTTGGCCCTAGGGTACGTCATCGTACTCCAGGTGCTCTACCTCTCCTTCGGCACCAGAGGAGGAATCATCATCGACCTCATTCTGGCCGCTTTTATAGCAGACCCCGTCACCGCTGGAATCTGGCTCATTGCCTCCGCCATCAGCCCTCGCACCAGCAAGACCGTCCTCCCTGGTCGTTCTATCGAATACTACATGACCTTCAAGCATCCGGCAAATGTCAAGTACCGCGGCAAGAGAAGGATCCCGATGGCTACCTTCTGCCAGATGCACCTCGATGGAGAAGTTAAGATGAACGGAGATATCCACCCAGCCCACGAGAGACTCGATCTAGGCATACTCCGCGGCTTCCTGGGACCCCGGATGGTGTACACTTCAGGTCTCGTCCGCGACACCAACAACCAAGAGTTCCTCGAGGAACTCGAGAACAATAGACTCGGCGTCATCTGCGAAAAGAACCACCTCAATCCGTACGACAGAGTCCTCAGCATCGGCTACGGGTGGGAAGCGTTCGCCAACTACGCCCGTCGTATCTTCCCTCACGTCTCATTCACTGGTCTCAATCACGTCGCCGAGTACACCAACATCGCTCCCATCAAAGGCGGCTACGAGAAAATCGTCTGCACGTATCTAGCCGAGCACAAAGGCCCCGGCAACTTCATGGCTCTGCACAATGGCCCCGGCGAGTACTCAAAAACTTTCAAGCACATTCACGGCCTGCTCGCCGACGACGGCATCTTCTTCCTCAAGGTCGCGGGCGGTAATGAGTCCTGGCAGTACGAGGATCTCATATGGAGACTCCTGATGGCCAAGTACGTCTACTCCGACGCCGTCCCTTATGCCTCGCTCGCATCCTTGATCAACCAGCTCGAGACCGCCGGCTTCAGAGCCAATAGTGTGGAAAACGTTGGTCGCCACTACTCTGAGACGGTTCGGAAGTGGTACGGTAACTTTGTGCGAAATCGAGAGGCTCTGATGGCCATGTATGGCCCCAAGATCTACCGGGTGAGTTTCCTTGCACAGCTCTCTTTCTCTCCGTCCTCTATGTTTTTGTCTCAAGGTGGATGACATGCTGACATCCAGTCTACCTTTTTAGACATTCGAGTTCTTCCTGGCTTACCTGGTCATCATCTTCGGTCAAGGCAGCGCCAACACTTACCAGATTGTCGTCACCAAGAATCCCAGTTCTGTCGACCGAACCAAGTCTGAGCCTGTAGTTGAGAAGTCTTCTTGGGATCTCTGCGAGTAGCTCCGTGGATCTTCCTTCCTTCAATTCAAATTCAATAGATCTTTTCATCTCTCGGAATTATGGGTTTTCATGAGGAAGCGGTATTCTGGGAGTTATTAAGGAAATCGGGTCAAAGGGTGGGACACAGAATGAGACAGGACACCTGAAATCACCATGGTCAATATCATGAGAGTAGCAAGAGGTAGTGCCCTGGTCTACTCCCATGAGAGTTCGGACACAGTCAGTTACTGAGTGTTGACAAAATGGATGGCTGTGAGGAACAACAATGATGAATGATGTGGCGCGGGACGTTATACAGCGTTAGACTTATTCCATCGCTTCGCCAAGAAATGCAAGATGCGGTCGCCTTCACGTATAAATTCTACACTACTTAGAGACTCGGCGGCTTGCAACACCTCCAAAGTTCAAGTAAGTGGAAGGGATCGATCAAATTTCTCACTAGCAAGGGGGAAGGGGGAGGCGGAGGCGATTCAAGATCTGGTTTCACAAACTTTTCAAAACGCACAGCACCAAACGGACCTTATAGTGTCAAAATCAAGTGAGGACCGAGTGACTGGTCGAGAGGATGTTTGCGCTCCAGCAGATGAGGAAGAAACATAAAGGCAAACACCACGAGAAGGTGTTTGTGCTACCCTCCCTCTTAGAGAAGAGAAATTAGCACAGCTCGGATCAAACTCTCGATCGAACATACCACAAACAGCCCTTCCATCAAACTGTTCCGCCTCACATGGCCGCTGTTCTCTCTGGGAGAGGAACAAAGACGCATGGCCAAAGCTGCGAATAAAACCAAGGGCAACCCCTTTTCGCCAGCCTCCGCCTCGACTTCCCATCTTTCTCGTCACATCTTCATTTCTTCCCACTTGCCACATCATCACGTCGCCTTCAACAAAACCACCTTCTCGTTAACTCGGTTAAAATTTCTGTTGGTTAGACTTCCGACGATGCAGACCCTCTCGATTCTGCTTCTCGTCGTTGCGGCCAGCATACCGACGGCGGAAACCTTTGGGTTCTGGCGTCCTCATCTACTAGAACTGTCGACACAGCTAGGAGTCAACGACAGCATTCCCGCGTTACCAAGGGCAAACCGATGGCCACGGCCGCAGCTGACGCCGGTATTCATAGATTCAAATACCATCGCAAAGAGATCTGAGCAGAGGGCCCCTACCACGGCAGTGACCCTAGGCCTAAACACCTGCGGCTTATTCACACTCTCTAAAGAGACAGGTCTGGGTTAGTGTTTTCTTTTCTTTGATCTCCACGTCAAAACACCAATCTCGAAGCCGGTAGACAAAATCACCAATCGAGGATCCCGGTATTTGCGGTATGCTGATGAACATCTCTCTCGGCTGCCTCAGTGATACGATCACGCACTTGCGATGAAGACACCCGCTGCACCATTCAGAATGATTATTTAGCCTGTGGAGCGGCCCTAGCAACCGCTTGTTTGCCTCACGGTCACTCCATGTGCAGTCCATTTCCATCTCAGACTCGCGGAAGGGATACAATGTGCTGGTACGTCCCCGCGTTCCCCGAGGAAACTTGAAATGTTGCCTCACCCCTTCTTCTCTGGCGGGGGATGACGACACTGACGGTGTCTGGAAAATCCATAGTACGTCAACGAACAGCTTCAACGGGGAGTGCCAGGAGTTCCGCCGGAAAGAGGGCACCCAAGACAAAACACTCTGGGGATGTCGCGAGAAAGGCTTGCCATGGGATCCCCTCGTCTACCTGTATACCGCATCGACCAATTTGCTTCCTCCGGCTCCTGCTACCACCACGTCTTCTCCTTCTTCTTCAGCAGATACGCGAATCACGTCCGTGCCAGGCTCCTCCTCGACAGTCTCAGACGACACGTCAACACCATCCGTGCCATCAAGCCCGACGCTTTCGACAGCCTCCTCGACAAGCGCACCGACGCCGGAACCTTCCAACGGCGGTGGCGGCGGCGCTGCTCCATCCAGCGGTAATCAGACGGGTGCCATTGTCGGCGGTGTCCTCGGCAGCGTGACCATCCTCGCCATCGCCGGCTGCGTCGCCACATGGCTCGTCGTGAGAAGAAGAAGAGCTTCGTCGGTCCGGGGAGAGTCGAGAGGCGGTGGTCACGTCTCGCCGTCTCCCAGCCACGAGCTCGCCGGCGACCAGCCGTGTGTGTCTCCGATAAATCAGAAAGAGGGAGAGCAGTGGAACTATCAGCCCATGTCACCCACGTCGCCCGCGTCCTCGTCTGCTCAGCATCGGGATGTTTTTCAGGCGCCGGCGAACGATTCGATAGGAAGCGCGATGAAGCCGGCTGAGTTGGGCTGAGTTGAACTGCTCGACGATGTGGCGATCTTCAATGTTTCTCTAGCATCTGGTTCTACGCGAAAGGCCCTGGCGGGCCAAGGGGTCTGATGGAAATGAGTTATCATTTTTTTCTCTTTTGATATGAGTGTTCGTCCTGCGAGCAGATATGCCACTGTTCAGAACTTAATAACGATTGTCTACCAAATGTTACATCGCATCTCACCGGTATTGATGTCGGATTCAGCTGTACGCATATAATGCTTTGAACATCCCATGGAGAAAGTTCTTATAGATATCTCCCAGATGTGCAAGGTCTAGCCATGTTGAGTGAGTCAAGAACTAATTGCAAGCTCTTTGAGACCGGTAGCATGATGACTTCCGACGGCTAGAGCACACCTCGTGTACTCGCCTGATTCTAATTATTGCTATTTCAAGAGCCCGTAACTGTAGCCCAAGGCCTCGATAGCCATTCATGAGGCTCGGAACCATGCAACATAGTAGATATATTTCGCCCTTGAGACCCTCAACCAAATGTTTGCGTGGAATAAGGGCAGAGGAAGCGATGAGGTGAACAAAGAGACGCGATTCCCTCTCGTTTTGGGTCACAATTTGAATACAAGCAAGGGCAACCCACTTCGCTTGTGTCTTTCGTCGTACATGTTTGCTCCTACCTCGACCATTTCTATTCCAGTTTTAGCCATCTTTGAACCTCAAAACACCCCAAGTCGGTCCTAACATAGATGCCAAGAACCTACTGACTTATATGACCAAAGACAAAATGCCCTTCTGCGCATCTCCTCTTCGAAATGGCCCGCCCGTTCCTGAAGGCACGTACGTCTCTTAGCCTCTCCATTGCTTGCTCCCCTTTCGTTCTTCGATATGAGAGGCCACTCTGTTCTACTCGCTCTAGCCGGCACCCTTCTGTCTCTAACGACAGCGGACCCCATCGCCCTCGCCATCGTCATGCCGACAGAGAGCGCAGCTCCCCCGCTTGACAGATTGACAAACAGCGGCCCGCTGGACCAACAACGATCTGGAATCCGGGCCACGAGACAAGTCATCTCAGAGGGCATGGGAAAGGAGACGTGCGGGTTCTTTAGAACAGGGGGAGGTTAGTTTCCTCCATCATGATCTTGAAATTACCTGCTTGGACTTTTCTCCCCCAGATTCTGCCTTCTCTCCTGGGAGAGGAGAGGAGGTGGCATGGGATGGGTTCAGATTAGGAGATGAATAGAAGGAACCAGTACTGACGCGAAGCCTATCAACCTGTTCTCAGAACTCGCATTAGTCACCTGCACAGCCGGCACAGGAACCTCCAGAATCGCATGCCACAACACGGGCAGGTGGCTCTGCGGAAGCCTCTACTCGACCTGCCTAGGCCCCGCCGAACGAATCTGCAGCGGCAAGACGCAGAATGGGGAGAGGACGCTCTGCTGGTATGTCCAACTAGCCCCATTTCACCACTTCAACCCCCCCCTCCTTCATCTTCGTCCAACAAACCATCCCCTTTTCTCTCTCGATGCAGTCCCATCTCCACACACTAACACAACCTCCCCTCTTCAAGCAACACAGAAAGCCCCGTCTGCGGCACCCTCCTCCGCGGCTCAGGCGAAAGCCAGAGAACGGGCCTAGCCTGCTTCGGCGCCGACTTCAAGACGAAATCCATCCAGACGCTCGCGTCCAATACGTGGCCGACCTTTATCACGGACCCGCTACCGCCGTCATCGTCAACATCGTCGGCGTCTTCGCCTTCGGCTACGTCCAGGCCCCAGATCGCGTCTGCGAAACCCTGCGCTACCCCGACGACCGCCACACCCTCGGCGTCTCCGACGAGCAGACCGATCAAGACGTCAACGTTTGGGATCCCTGATCCCTCGCCTTCGCCTGCGATGGCCCTGGGACAGTCGGCATCGGTGGGCAATGGACGGAGCGGCGTCGTTCGGGGGCTCGGTGTGCTGGCTTTTGCGATGCATGTGGCTTGGATTGGTTTGTGAAGGAGTTCCAGGGCATGGGGGCAGTCTAATATATATCAGCAGACCTGATGGGTTAGAATGAGCAAAATCGTTGAATCAAAAGAGAAAAATAAGAAGAAGAAGAATCATCTTTCCATTTGGTAGTGCCGCTTATGCCATGCCCCCTCGTAACCGATTCAGAGATGGAGCCCCCTTTGTTGTCCCAACGCCCCTGTATACATGTTGCCAAAAACGTTCTGATTCTTCGCAAAAACAAGTGCTAGGCCTTTTCACACCTACCGCACCTTACGCCTCAAAACCTCAGCTTGGGCATCACAAACACCAAGAGGATCAAGGCGACCATGAGCCCGTACACCCAAGCATACAAAATCATCCTCCCCCACCATCCTTTCCCCTCCGTCATCTTCCGCAGCGTGCCCATCCGCCGGCTCGCGGCGTCCATCGACCTCTCCGTCTTATCCATCCCGTCCGCCGCGCGCGACACCACGCCCTTGTCCTGCTCGAGTGTGCTCGAGAACTTCTGCGAGCTGGCCTTGAGCGCGCCGGCCATCTTGAGGATCGACTCGGAGAGCGCGTCCTGCTCCGCGCGCTGGTGGTCCAGGATCGCCTCGGCCGTCGCCGTCGACGACGCGGGCCCGGAGGCCGAGGACTTCGTGGTGTTGGAGCGGCGGGAGGCGAAGAGGGCTGCGCGGGCCGTGGCTGTCGTTGTCGCTGAGGGCGAATCTGGGCGGGCTGGGCCGCGGGAGCGGAGGGTCTGCGTTGTTGTCGTGCCCGCCTCGGGGGTTGTGTGTGTCTGCGGCGCAGGTGATGGTTCTGTTGCTGATCGTGCTGGCGCCGTTGGCGCCTCTGACGGTTCTCTGGGGACAGCCGTCACTGGTGGAGGCAGTTCCGGTATTTCTGGTTCATCGTCGTCGTCTTCGGGGGTGTTGTCTGTGGGTATATCTGTTGACCGCGAGTCCATGCTCTCGCTCGGTGTAGGAATGATATCGGCCAGGACGTCCTCTCCATCTGAACTGTTGTCATCCTCATCCTCGTGTAACTGTTGCGCGGGTGTCAGCAGCGACAACATGGAACTCGTCGCGCCCTCACTCGGTCTGCGGGCCATCAAAAAGAGCGCACCTGTTCGAGATCATGCATCCTGTCCACCAGTCTCTCGAGAAGTTCGCGTTTACGGTTGAGATCGACCTGCATATCCTGCCGCCGGGAGAGCAGCTTGACGTGCAGCGCCTCCTGCTCAACTCTGGTAAGAAGACCCCGGGCATATTCGAGGTTCTGTGAAAGATTCCTGGTGAGCATAAAAGCACCGCGCTGTATTGGCCTTTCTTTAGGAGATCCCATACCGAGTTCAATCTCGCTCGCTCAAATTCGCTAGCCCGTAACCTGCGCTCGCGGCTCTGATCGGCATGCAGGATCGCATGGTCAAGTCGTCGCAGGAGTTGGTTGAGCTCGGCCGCGCCCTTCTCGGGGGTTGCGCCGCCGGCGGTAAATGGTGACGCCGATGATAATCGAGCCATAATGTATTCTTCTGGGGTTCCTTCACTTAGGCTCACGATACTTCCGGGGGGGGAGTTCGATTTCGGTCGGGTTTTGTAGAACCGGGGATTGTTGGACATGTGTCTGGAAAGCTGATGATGTCGTCGCAAAGTCAAGCCACCGTGGCTGAAGCTCACCCCTCCAAGTGCCGGGCGCACAGGCCACACTCAAACACGTCGATCCCAAAAAGTGGGCTTCCTCTGCCCTTCCGTGTAAGTGAAGCAACATCTGAGAACTGCTTATCTTTGAGTTACTTCTGTCAATCGCACGAGTCCCTCCTAAACTATGTTGGAGATAACATCTCCTAATTAAGAGATTTTTTTTAATAAAAAAATTAAATTCAATTGGCCCAATTACCAATCCATAGATAAGCAATGTCCCTCGTATCTAACTGTTGTAGGCAATTCGTCAGTGAATACCCAAGTCTATGTGATGTCTCTAGAGCATCAACGTAAATACTCTCTGGCAATCGCCAAAAAGCTGAATTGAAATATTTTGAGGAGCCTGAAGTCTTGTTATGCATCTTCCTCTTGGCACGCAAATCCTTACACACAAAGGTTCACTTGACAAGGCCTCTAGAAAATGCCACAGCAAAGCTATAGCTGCTTCAGCTCATCTCTCACCATGCAAGTAAGTAGGGAAGTAGAAGTTAAGCGATCCAAACATGATTGGAAAGCCTACATGCTAGATGTCCAATATTTTCCGAAACATCACTTCAGACGCGGGCACATAAGACTTTGCGGCCGGAACCGATGAGACGTAGCAAGATATCTAAGAACTTCATTCATCATGGCCAACTACGCCGACTGATACTAGACCTTATGCGTTATTCTATTGACAACACCGTTCGCCAAAGAAGGGCTCGTTGGATTCTCAAGAACCGGCTTTCATCAAAAGGGTGCAGCTGAGGCCCTTGCATGACCGTCCACTTGAGTGAAGACGGCCGCGTGTAACTCGGCAACACCAAACACCAAAACTACAGTTGTCATCCTTGTTTGATATCTGCATATTCATAGTCGGACTCTCAGACTACGACTTACATGTCTTTCTTGAAGCAGAGTCCCGAACCCAGATGTTCCAATGCAGTCCAGATTTCCAAGTGAACCCCCCCTACGACAAATAACATCCCGAACCTCTTTACTCGCCATCATCCAAGACCGCCACTTTCTTGGGTGCCGCGAGACTGCTTGTTAAATACTTTCCCAGACTTGAGGGCCAAGCAACAGATTGATGAGGTCAGACTACCAAGACGCAAGGTAAACCCAAAATCTCGAGACTACGAAAGCCCCCCCCCCCCCCCCCCCCCGAGACGGGGGAAGGGGGAGGGTGGGCATGACTCTCATCATCACCTTGCTTCTCTCCATTGACTTAAAGAGACTCTGGATCAGATAACTTACCCCGGAAGGACGCAAGGCAAGCTCTATAATACGCTTGTAGTATTGTTTTCCGGGGCACTCTTCCAAACACCACCACACGACGGACGCAAATCCTTCGATGACACGACAGAATCTCGTAGCCTTTGGAACATATCGCGAGGTTGCCCTTGCAAAGTCACTCGGCCTCGACCCTGTCAACGTGTCGTCAAACTCGTATACCTAGTCAACCGAGCCACGATGCATTCTAGCCGACTTCGCCTTCTTGTGCATAGCCCAGTCAGAAGCTCACCTCACGGGATATGCAACGATGGGCACGATTGATTCAATGGCAGTGCCTCTGAGACCACTTCCCACCCTGCTACCATCACGTGCATCACGCTCAAAAGTTGAAATCGCCTCCAGAATCAAGCGGGACAATTCATCTCCCCCGTCATCTTCGTCGATCACTCGCACGTGTCTCGTGAACAACGGCCCACAATCATTCCCGCAACCAGCTCTGAGTTGTCAATCGTACCAAGAACCAAGGAAGTCATGCAGTAAAGTCTTCGATGAAGAACTTGGAATCACGAATGCTGCGTATCCACAAATAGGTACTTCAGTCTTCGAACTGCCAAGTTAAGAGAGCGAATGCCCTCCCGACAGCTCCGAGCCCCCACATTCGCGCTGCCCATGGACAAGCTACGATGTGCGCAAAGTCAGCACGCTATCGTATTAAAAGCACATTCATGTGAGCGCATGATGGAGGAACAGAGTGTGGCTATGCCCCTCCTTCCATCGCCTTCTACCCCGCGTTCCTCGGACCTGAACAACAGGTTAAAGTGTGGATTCGAACCGTTACCTATCAAGGAGGTGAAGTTGTCATGGTTGCGTGGGTTGCGTGGGATTTTGGTTCGTATGGACGGCAAAGGGTCTGCAAGTGGTGGTCCTGCAGGGCTGAATGCCTATGGCTTAGACAAGAATCCTCCGTTTCAACAATTAGCCTGTTTCATTTCCTGCAGTTGTGTTGTAGATAGGCCGTAGATCAGAGATCTCTCCGGCCAAGAGCCAGTTGTGAGTGTGCCCCGAAAAATGCGACGGTAAACAGGGCAAGGCGAAAGTCAGTCGCTACTGGGCGAGCTGAGGCGAATGGGCTGGTTTTGATGACGAAGTTGTGTGGTTCTGCGCCACCCCCAAAGGTCGACTAGGTACTGCGTACAGAGTGCGTTGGAGACGGAGGAGATGCGATGCAGCCAGTAGAGATGATGCCAAAGCCGCGTCCGAGGCAGGTCTTCTCCGCAAATCCCACTCGGTTGTCGTTGGACAACAGGTGCGGGTGAGGAAACACGACATTTCTGACTTGGGGAACGGGCGCTGTGTGTCCCTGCATGACGAGAGAGGATTTGGTGCTAATTATGGAAACGGGATGAACCCGGCATTGGTTGGACCAGCTCATTGACGGCATTTTGAAGGGTCTTCACAATGGTACGTAGTCTTAGAGGGTGTGAGGGTGTGGCGTGGTGCTGTGCGGTGGCAGTGGGCGGCGGCATGTCGGGACCTGGAGGCAACACTGTCGAAGCCGGGAAGGGCGTCGGGGCAACAAGCTCTTTCAAGCACTGAAGGCCGTTGACATAAACCTGGCGGGGGATGCGGGCATCGTCGTCGAAGCCGGAGGTACACGACGTCATCAGGTAGCTATGGGGATGGGAGCAATTGCCAATGAGACAGAAGAGTACATGCGGATTACCGCCTGGTCTCTGGCTAGGGCCTCGAGAGCGTAAGTAGCGCTAGGGTATCTGCTGCTATGGAAGCCACTGTGACCCGCCAGTCCCTGAAGATGGGATAGACATGGGCATGGAAAGGCCGATGAATGGTCGGAACGATGGATGTTCGGCAAGATCCAGCATCTGGGCTCTGCTCTGCAGACAGTGCAGAGGCTGCCACCTTGGGTCGGATGGGTGCCATTGGGTTGTGTTGGGTGGTTTGTGTTGCTTTTCTGCAAAAGGCATGTGAACCGTGACCCGGGAGCCAATCGCCCATGACTCCATGTTGCTGAACTGATGAGAAAACACGAGGAGTCTTAGGCTTTGCTCTCCTGGACCAGAGGCATGTCGGATAAAATGCGAGACATTGGTGTCAAAGCTGTCAGACATTACCTGGAACGTCGGCCGATGTGTTGGTGTCAGTCAGAGAGCGCAGGGTGCGCTAGGAGTAGCAAGTCCTGGGGCCCATTGGCTAGACTCTGTCGGTTGCAGGTGAGTGCTGCGAACCGAAGCTTAGAAGTGGCATGGTATCTGGCCACGAGTGACGAATTGACTGCCTGGGCGAGTTGAATCTCGGCGCCGACGTTACGAGACGAGATTCTGCATTTCCTGAGCGGCGGTATCACTCCGGAGAAGAGGGCCGCGAGGGAGCACAACGAACGAATGCCCTGTGGTGTTGTGTGTCTCGGCTCCACCACAACGGATCGCATCTGTACTATGGTCAAGCTGAGGAGAAAGTCCAAAGCGGGAGACAGCACTTTCTACTCTTGAATACATTAGATTAGATACGCAATAGGTAGTCGATGCCTTGCACGCTTTGATTGTCCCACAGAGCAGACTGGCACATCAGGCATGGACAGATGTCGTCGGTTGAGTCCATGGTAACAAGGCCTGATCGTGCCGGCACAGTTCCATCCGCCAGGAGGCTTAGTTCGGCGCTGGCAAGGTGATCGACAGCGGCTTTTGCCTCTTCGGAGACGGAGCTTCGGGCTGGACCAGCAAATGGACCGCGCCCTGAGGTCAAGACGTGACGGAAGTCCTGTTCTGGTTCAGGAGAAGCTCAAAACGGACGGGTGAGAGCAAGATGATGTCGTCGTGGTAGCATTTGATGACTCGACCAAGGAAGGCAGGGGAAACGAAACGCTACTTTGCCAGATTCCTCCTCCCAGACTGATAACAGCAGATCCACCGACCGAAAGCAGGTTGCGGGACGGAAATTGCAACGAAAGCCAAGTTTTCGAGTCCGAGATAGGTAGTCTATACGATGAAATGGCAGAAATGGCCACGGTTGACATTTGCAAAACAGCTCGACAGACAGAGACAAGTAAGAGGGTACGTTAAGAATAAGACAGTGAGTCTCAAAAAGGCGAAAGCCGGACGGATAGCTGAGCACGCCGCACGGTGGGTTTCGCGTGTCGATGTGACGATGTGCAGCCCCGGCTGATGTGGGAAGAGAAATGCGGCTTGCGGCCGGCAATGTGGGAATATTTTCAGTCCAAAAGTCAATTGATTGCAAAACGAATTCACGGCTGGCCTGATGTTGCGGCAGTCGCGTGTCATAGATACACTTTCTTCTTTCCATCTCAAGGTGAGGTACCTTATTTCGAGGTACTTTGAGATGGAAGATGGGAAAGAGGAAAGAGGTGCCCGCCAGCTTGGGAACCAGGTTGGCAGGTGCATCAATCAGTTGGTGCCCGGCCCGGATTGGACGAGACGAGCAGGTGCCAATTAATGCAGGTACCTCCGGCGGCGCATTCCCGTCGTGTCCATGGTCAGACTGCGCACCTGAGCCTGCTGTGCCTGCCTTACTACAGATTTTGCCTGATGATTGTTAGAGGCCTAAGACATAAACAATATCTTTTGGTACTGAATGACTTCCCACTATCGCGGGAGGAGAATAAAAGCAACTGAAGGCTTAAGATGGTACGTGAGTAGTATTTTGGCGAGTATATGGATAACCTGAGTGTTAAGACCTAAGGATCACGGCCTTTAAAAGGACAGCATAGAGGTGTTAGTGGTGATTGAGGAAAGTGCCCTAGATGGGTCTCTTTTGAATCGATTCTGGTCTTACGCCGACTTCTGGAGTGGATAATCACGAGGGGAAGTAGACAGTTTCTTGCTCTCGTGTTTGTTTTTTCTTCTTTCCTGGCGACTGCGTCCCGACGTCTTTTTTGTTTTGTTTTGTTTATTGGTTCCTATTCATGTTTTGTTTTTTTCCTTTCTAGAACCAATTTCCAAAACTGGTATTCTCCTGGCTCCGTTACCCGTACTAGAGCGCCCAAGCTCCGGCGAGCTCCCGCCAGCGCCGCTAGGAGCAGAAGAGGGGACTTGTCTCCACGTCTAAGCAGACGACAACCATGGATGAACCATCCAAACCATCAATTGGACCAGGCAGATCCCATCGAGAGGCTGGAGACTCGGGAGTACAGAGGCGCCTCGGACTGTGGGCAACGTGGCTGTCACCGTGCAATTACCACTGCCCGCATGAAAGCTCTCTGCTCGTATGTCAGGGCACTGCATATCTAAGCTTTCGTGGAGGGAATTAGTGACTCTCCTCACTGACAAGCGCTGGCAGCAAGCTGCAGTGCCGCACGAGTCCACCTCCCAAGCTTGACTCGCGAGGCTTTTCGCGAACGGCCGAAAAGACTCAAGAGGGGAAGAGGGGCCTTTCCAGCATGCGGCAAATCCGCTGGGCACCTTGACACAGGCATGCGGCATCTGTGTATGAGGTACCCTTTTCACCCGTAGCGAAGGCGCTGTGAGTTGTAAATCATGTAGGGAAAAGGGGTTGACGCATGCCGGCAGTTTATTTCGCGATGAAGTGCGCAAGCGATAGAAGTCGGATCTTTAGATCCCAAGGACCAAGGGATTGGGGGAGTCGAATCATAAATGTCAAGATGCTGAGGTAATATCGCTCATAGATGCCCAAGTGATGCATCTTTTCGAGATGGGAACTCAAGATCTTGACAAGTGAGAGCGTGGCGTGGCGTGGCTGGTAGCATCTGCACGCTTCCCTTGCCGTACCTTAACTTAAAGTTCCTCGCCGGACTGTAGACGCCGTATGAAATCTCTGCCTTCACTCCACCGCGAGACCCAAGGTACCTAGGTACTTCACTACCTGGTAGGTATCCGTATGCACGTCTCGTCTGGGTGCTCAGAGTATATCTGTGTAGGTATCTTAATTCAGTGTGAGGTATTCGTAAGGATCTAACGCCGTGTGTGCGAGTGTGATGTGGACTGCGATTTGAAAAGTGTGGACTGAAATCACTAGACTGATGCAGAGTACGTGTGTAAGTGCGTAGTCGTGAAATGAGAGATTGATTGAATGTGATTGTTTTATTGATCTGGTGTTGAACAATAAATAAAAAAAACAAAATTTTAGACCAACCCGCCAGGCGGGGAGGACTCGGAGAAAGGGCCGCCCCTCAGTGGTCACTGGGACTCCCGAGTCTTGGACCCACTACACATCTCGTCAGTCTCATTTCGCGCAAGAGCTCCCGTCGGCAGGGTCACCCCTCCTTCCTGGCCTCTCCCATTGTTCTCCTTGAGTCCTTCCCTCTCACGCTGCTTTGGCTGCTTCCAGAGTCGAAGTTCTGCCAGCCCCCAGAGGTAAGAACCCAGGTGGCAGGCACCCAGGATGGCCCAGGCCTCCCGTCGTCCCATTTGATCCTTCCTGACGACGCCCCACAGAGCCAAAAATGCGGCGAGGTACTATCTTGCCATGATGGTCATATGAAAGGTACTTGGCCGTCTTTGGAGCTGGGTGCATGGCAACATGGAAATTACGGCACTCATCTTGGACCTGCCAGCTGGAGATGGACAAAAGCGTTTATTGTCACTTGTACTTGTATGCATAGTAAGGTACGTACCTTTGATATGGAGACATGGGCGTGGACAACACTGTGAGTTAGGTTTGCAGATTCATCCATTCTCTTTCTGCGTCTCCTCTCGCATACCACCGTGCCTCTGCGTCCATCTACCAGGAAGTGCCGCGTCGTTGTCCCCTTGCATGCTGTCAACCTTTCTCCAGCAAGCAACATGTAACCACGGGGCAGTCTTCCATTTCCACTGCCGCCATCACGATAAGGGACTACTCTTCGAACAAGGTACCTAAGGTATCCCAAGGTGAAATATCACCATCACCATCGCTATCGCCAGCCCACCTCCTCTTCGATCATCGGTGACAGTACCCTACCGGCAACTAGCTGCCATGGGCCCTGACGTCTGGGTACTTTAGGTTAATAGCTAAGGTGAAGTGCTAACATAGCTGGCCAGGAACCCCAGTGGTCAGGGAGACGCCGTGAGTCCGCGACAGTCGGGAACGACCAGTGACAGACGGCTAATGAACGGCCGATGCCCAGCAGCCTCCGCCCAGCAGCATTCAACGTCCCACGTCGCACGTAACTGCGCATCAGTAGCACACATTGGCCGCTGCAGCCTTGGGGCCTCGACGAGTCTTTCTCTCCACCGTATAATGGGCCTGGAGTGTCTGGCCTGTCTTGGTCCCTGGGCCTTCTGGAGCTTTTGCAAGGTCCCAGGCCAGCTCTCTTCCACTCGTGAGCACTGCTCCGGGCCATTTAGACGCACCTCACCTAGGGGTACTTCCATTCCCTGACGAGAGTGGCGTGGCAGGCAGGTATCTTATGTTTCCACTCCCGCTCCCACACTCCCGTTTCCTCCCACCCGACCTCTCCAGCCAAGGCCCAGCGCCAGTCCCTGTGCCCACTACTTAGTTACCTTACCTTAGTGCTAAGTACTGCGTAGATATTGGCATTGAATTCACATTGGAGCCTCTGCCCTCTGGCTCCATCAAATGGGCATGACATCGGTATCGCAGCCGTCCAACCCCTCACAACCCTCATCCATCCCCGTCGTCGCTGGCCCTACCAGACCACCTGACCGGCGGCAACCCTGCTCTTTGCTGCTACCTTGATCCGGGTTATCCATCCCGTCCCGTAATGTCAGCGCCTGGTTGCCGCCGTCGCGCTGACGAGTTGTACCGCTTGGTATGCTCCTTCTGCTGGTGCTGGTGCTGGTGCTGCTGCCCTTGATGCGTGTACGTGTGTGTTATTGATGCTTGCTTGACGCTGCCCGTCGTGTCTATTGAATTTCTCTGTCCACTGTTTAACTCCATCGTTTTGTATTACTAGAGGATTGCCGCAGTACATATAGACGCTACCCTGCCCTCGAATTCCGTACTATTCAACCTCAACCCTTTTCTTACCCATCCTTTCTTTTATTCTACCCTCTCCCTCGTCAAGGGATTACTAGAATCGTAGTTTCGATAGCTTATTAATAAACTAGTATTACTATTTAAAAGTAAGTAACCTACTCTTATATATAAGTACTAAGAGTCTTATTATTATAAAAATAGTAGTAAATATATTAGAGTACTTAAGAGAGCTTTTTAATAAACTTTTAATACTATTTAAAGCGATTATCCTCGAGCTATAAGAAAAAGCCGAGGCGCTATATTAATACGGCCCTATTTATCTTATTAGTATTAATAATACCCTTCTTAATATAAGATATATTAATAATATTTTATAACTACGTTACTATGCTTCGTAAATCGTACCTAACGTTAGTAAAGATTTTAGTATTATTTACTAAGTATTTTATTAAAGTTATTATCGTAAAGTTAGTTTAGTTATTAATATCTTAATAAGTATTTTAACTTAATATACTTAGAGGCTCTTATAGCTCTTAATTAGAGGCTTTTAAAAGACTTATAATTAGACTTTTCGCTTATTATGGGCAAAGCTATTATAGTTAAAACTATAGTACTACTTACGGACCTCGATAATAAGTAGTTAGTAATACAGTTATCTTTCTCTTATAATAAGCTTAAAAAAGTATTTTAATTTAAGTACTAAGTAGGTACTATACTATTTTATTAAAACTATATTTTTATATTTATAACTTAGAAAGAATTAACTTTCTTTGATAATAAGGTACTTAGAATTTCTCTATCCGCGGACCGCTGGGCACTGTAACTGTTATTTGCTCAGCTCTGGGTACTTCGCGTTGCCCCGACTCCATGCTTGCTTCTCAGGGTCTACGGTTCCCGCATCGTCGACGTCCAACATCGTACTCCGTACTCTGGGTACTATACTTCATTGTCCACAGCTGGGTACCTCAGTAATACTCACTGCTGCAGCAAAGCAAAACCTCACTCTCGCTTTCAGTCTCAGTCTCAGTCTTTCTCTTATTACAGTCTCACTCACTCAACTACATTACGCTCATTCACTGTTCATTATCAACTTTACCAGCGTCGACACTCCAGCCTGGCCTGGAGTTGCTGCCTGTGAGATTGAGTCAAATTAGAAGAAAAGGACACAAAAAGTACTGGTCTCATCACCCACTGACGACAACGTGTCTAGCGCACACCCATACTCCTTCCCTCCACACCTCTTTTCCTACCTTACCTTGGGTGTCTGCCTTACCTCACACCTCACACCTAAGGTGCTCTCTTCCTCTCTCTCTCTTTCACACACTCTCTCTGACCTTGCCTTGCCTTGCCTTGCCTTGCCTTACATCACCTAGGTACCACTACCTACATTTCCTGACCTCGCCCGATTTACGCACATACGCACCCGCACATTACACCTACGCCCGGCCTGGACCACTTGGACCTGAACCCCAACCTGGACCTGGACTGGACCTGGACCTCTGACTTGCACCGGCACCTGCAACCTCTCCTGCGTCCCTCCGCCTTCGTCTATTCGTACCTAAAGTGCTCCGTACCGACTCCGTACTTGCTTCGCCCTCTCTCTCTCTCTCTCTTTGAGCTCTGCCTTTGCCTCACCTCACCTTACTCACCTTCCTATTGCTTACCTGGTACTGGTGCACATACCTCGCATTTTCCTTCCCCCTTCTACCTTACTCAACCCCCAGACTCTCTTCTCCAGACCAAACTCCTTCTTTCCTTGCCCTATTTTGCCCGACCGACAACTATCGTCAACGAGGTTTCAACGAGTCGTTGTCGCGCCTAGTCTTCTGGTCGGAAACGTCGCTCGCTTCCATTCGTTTTCTGTCGTCGAAAAAATCCCACCAACGCACAGCTCGCTCGTGTCTTACCGACTCCCGCCATCCCCTCTCTAGCTCCGCATCGTCGTCGCCCGCCGCCCTCTGTCCCCGGTCAACGCTGCCCGAATACACCTGGGTCATTTCACCTACACGGACGCTCTTCGTCACCTCACTCGCTCGCCCCTGTTCCCCTTCCTACTCACACTTGGGTCGGAACTTCTTCATGACATCAACAGCAGGGCTTTTGCAACACAAGACAAGGAGGACTTCCAGAGACGGTCTCTAGGAGCGCTTCACTCGACAAAGGAATATTTGCGCGCCAAAAGAAGCCCACGGCCAATCACCGCCTGCGCGTCGCATCTCATCCTAGCGCATGCTCACACCCAATACCTTTCAAGCGACTCGATCCTGTGCCAAAACACCACCAGGCGACCAAGCGACCAACCGATTGACCTGCAGATCGAAGACCGACTGCACTGAATCTGTCTCTAACATCCAACTTTCTTTGATCGTCGCTCGACCAAACTCTGTCGCTTGACACACTTTGTTCATACTCGATTCCCACGACAACCAAAGGACGCTGGCTGCGATAAAGTAATTGAGCTCCGACCACCTGCGCTCCGTCATTGCGATGACGTCCGCCGCTACTCCCCCCAACCAGGCTTTTCAGCCCACGAGTAACTCGACCGCGCCCGCCGCGCCCTCGACTCCGAATAAGAGAGACCTGAAGTCGTGGTGGAAAGGATTCAAGCTTCCTTCGAAGCATCAGGAACATCACGGTAGAGCCCCTTCTACTTTCGCATCGCAACAACCGCCCCCAACTCCCACCCAAACCCTCTTCAGTGAAGATGTCGACGAGGCAATCGATACGTCAGCCGCACCTCTCAGTCTTGTCTTGCTGCTGCAAGATACCCATCCTGTTGGGTCCTGCGATCCCATTTTACCTCAAGTCTGCGCCTCGAGTGATGCGACAGCCTCCAATACCTTGAACCCGACTGGTCGGCTCAACAGGCTGTCCCTGTCTATCACCATGCCTGTGCGCCAGTGTGCCAAGCACATCCGCGCGGCTGTGAAAACGTCTTCTACTTCATGTGCTAAAGGTTCTACAGCAGACAACCGGCCTCACGGAATTTTCGGCGTTCCTCTCCGTCAGAGCATCACCTACGCCAACGTCGCGATATCTCTTGTCGACGAGAACGGAAAGAGCTATATTTATGGCTACGTACCGATTGTTGTCGCCAAGTGCGGCGTCTTCTTGAAGGAAAAGGGTAAGTGTACTTGAATGACGGTCCATCTCCAACATGCTCACGTCCCGTCTTCTTAGCAACAACGGTGGAGGGCATTTTCCGCCTCAGTGGCTCCGAGAAACGAATCAAGGAACTGAAACAGATTTTCGACTCACCCGATCGCTACGGGAAGGGCCTGGTGTGGGACAATTACACGGTTCACGATGCTGCCAACGTGCTCCGACGATACCTCAACGACCTTCCTGAGCCCGTTGTGCCGCTAGATCTGTACGAGAAGTTCAGGGAACCGTTGCGAGGCGCCACGAGGCAAGCCGTGGGCGATGCCGAAGGCCCGCAGTTTGTCGAAAATTTTGACGATCAAGCAGCCATCGTCAAGTACCAGAAGCTCATCACGGAGCTTCCACCACTGAATCGCCAGCTTCTGCTATACATTCTGGATTTGCTCGCTGTCTTCGCCGCCAAGTCGGAAGAGAACAGGATGAACTCACAGAATCTAGCAGCAATCTTCCAACCCGGCATGCTGTCGCACCCGCAGCACGCCATGGCGCCTGAAGAGTATCGCTTGAACCAATGCGTGCTCATTTTCCTCATCGAAAACCAGGATCACTTCTTGATTGGCATGCAGGGCACGGCTACTGACGAGAAGACAAAGCAGCTGATCGAAAAAGGCACACCCCCTGCAGCCAGTGGGCCAGTGACTCCTAACCCTAACAGGAAGTCGGGTCTGGGTCGGTCTTCATCCAATGCCAGTGCCGGCGCCGACAGTGTACGAAGAGACGGAATGCTCAGAAGAAACCGATCGACATCTTCAAGGCACTCGCACCATGAAGGTTCCACGACCCCAAACAGCCCGGCACTCGCACCAACCCCGAATAGCGGCCTTGGCAGAAGCAACACAGTCCCTTCCAAGAAGTCCCCTGCTCTTCAGACGGGAAGGTTCAGACGTGATGCTTCACCCATTCCAGGCTCGTCACCGCGTGAGCCCATGATTCCGGCGACGACGGAAGAGCTTGTCGAAGCACCTGATCAGTCCCCTGCTGCGTCGAGCATTTCCCCCGCGCCGGCTGCAATAGGCACATCCAGCCTGGCACCCACCGCTGCTGGCAATGCAGGCAGAAGCCAGGAGAGGCTGCTTGACCCGAATGAAGCTACGACGCCCATCAAGGAAAGAGTCCTTCCTAGCATATTCCAAAGATCCCCCACCGGAGAGGGCGAGAAACGACAACCGAACAAACTGAAGAAGAAGCGCATTCCTGGGAGCTTGAACCCGAGCGCGCAAAGCTCGGCCGCATCCTTGTCCGGTACGCACTCAGCCGCTGTGTCCCCTAGTCTTGAGGCCCCCAACCCCATGGATCTGGTGGCCGATACAATCCCAGAGCACGATTCCCTCGCGATTGGCCAGCAGCCTGGTGCAGTTGATACACCCTCGGAACCCACCCCGCGTGCATCACAGGTCCCCTCTAGCAACACCCTACATCCCGAGCAGACGCTCAAGGCTAAGAAATCGCCGCCGACATCACTTCACTCATCATTTAACGAAGGTTCTGACGTTGATCAGACTGAAGAGTCCATTGTGACGACTTCGGCAGACGCCAGCGAGCCGGATAAGGAAAAGAAGAGAAGATGGCGACTTTCACGACAGAGGGGCCACGAGCACCACCCTTCAATCACCTCTCCGCGTCTGGCTTTCGGATCCAACGATAATGCCGACGTTAGCGTGACCTCGATTGGCAGCGGCGGATACAGGCCCCGGAAGAGCTTCACCGGTGAAAGTTCAGAAACTGGCATGTACACTGCCGAGGCACAAACCAGTCATGAATCGCGGGACAAGGACGGCAAGGACGAATCTAAGGGGCCCATCGGTTGGATTAGGAACAAATACCGTGAGGCCAAGGAGAGCGCTGAGCGACGGAACAAATCGCCCCCAGCAGACCGACAATCTTCTTTGGGAGGCTCCAGCATCATGTCAGGAAGGGGAAAGAGTCTAGATATTCGCAGGGAACCCGACGAGAGGGCACAGAACCCACCTGTACCACCATTGCCGCAGCAAGCGGCCCCAACTCAGACGGCGGCGGCTCAGCCGGTAGCGACGCAAACCACAACCTCTCAACCTCCGCCACCCCAGCCGACATCAGCACCATCGCAGCAGGCATCATCTCCAACGGTAACGAGTCCAGTATCGCCGCCTCCCGCATCTATCGTAGCAAACCCACCAGCACCGGCCCAACCGGCAAAGTCTCAGTTGGCAGCAGCCTCTCAGCCGGAGATCGCACCGCCAACGCAGCCAGCACCTGAAGCGGCGCGGTAATACCGACAATGAGCCGCGTTCGAAGTATGCCCATTTGAGGTGTTTTGTTTATCAAGAGCACGTTTTTCTGTGGAATATTTCATTTCACTCATGGCTGGACCTGATACATCAAGGGTTTCTGAGGGGGAAGGGGAAGGGGGGCCGGCCTAGACGAGGCCAACCCAAAGTTTCAAGAATCCACGTTTGAACGTTTGAAAAGAAAAAGGAGGCATGTGCGTGCTTGTTGTTGGTGAATCATCATAAATGTACGGAGTTGTTCGATTCTCTGGCTTGGTGTACAGCGACGCATTGTCTACGGGCTCGCTCGCTATGAAGGGTATCCTGTCAAGTTGGCGTTTTCTTTTTTGTCATGACGTGTAGTAGCCCCGGCCGCTCCTGTCCCTCTAACGTTTCCTGGGGATTTGGTTACATGTGTTCACGGGCCCAGGGTAGGGTAGGAAAAGAAAGAATTTTTTGTCATGGTTGACGTTCACGATGATGCTCTTGTGTGGGAAGGGGTATGTGAGAATGGAACTTATTGCCGTTTTTTAACTTCTCGACTCTTTACTCTTATTCCTACACTGACTATTACTAATGTCGTTTGACTTTTTTGTGTTTAGGATACAGTAGTATACAGCCCCGTATCCCAAACGACGAGCCTCCCGCGCCGGCGGGCGTCCTCGTTGAAGAAGCCGTTCCAGCCTGACCAGACGCGTTTCGGGCTCACGCCGAGGTTGTGGCCTGCGCCGTGGGGGGAGGAGAAGAAGTCGTGGAGCCAGGGTTCGATGCCTTCGAAGCCGACGATGTAGCGGGGTATGTCTTCTGGTGGTGCTGATGATGATGATGATGATGCTGCTGCTGCTGCTGCTGCTGCTGCTGGCTCGGAGTCGGAGTCGGGGCTGGACCTGGCCTCGGCTGCCGGCCACAACTCGGTCGCCATGAAGAGCTGGGGGTCGTCGTAGAAGCGGTCCGCCTCGTCGCGGTAGGCTTCGCGTTCGGGGGTGTCTGGTTTGGTGTGGAGGGGCGGTTCGCAGGTGAGGGCGCGGGCGCGGAGGGCGGGGTGGAGGAGGTGGGAGCGCCAGGGGGTGGAGTGGCATGGCGTCAGGAAGAGGGCGAAGAGTTCGTTGCCTTGTGATTCTTTTGTCGTTGGCGAGGATGGTGAGCCTGGTGTTGGCGGTGATGAGGAGGAGGAGGAGGAGGAGGAGGAGGAGGAGGAGGAAGCCAACGAGGCCGAGGCCAGGGACGCGATCGGGGCCGATGTGGCGGCCTGCTCCGGGTGTATGCGTGCGTACGAGGTGCGGAGGAAGGCCAGGACCGTAAGGGGCGCGGGCTGGTGGAGGAGGGTGAGGAAGAGGGCGATTGCGGCGTGGAGGCCCAGGGCGGAGGCGAGGAGGCGCTTGCGGCGGAGGCGGGGCTTCGGGAGCGGGGAGCGCGGGGTCGGTGGCGGGGCCGGGGTGGTGAAGAAGGATGCGAGGGGCGCGGCGGCGAGGATGTGGAGGGTTGGGAGGAGGGGGTAGATGAAGCGGACTTCTTTGTGGGAGACGGCGGAGAGGGCTGCGATGGTGGCGTAGACTGTCCAGGTGAGGGTCTTGAGGGTTGCTTTGCTGGGGAGTTTGGTGGAGCGCGGTGGTGGTGGTGGTGGTGAGGGCGGGTTGCAGAGTGACAGGAGGACGAAGGGGAGGTAGGTCATTGACAGGAGGGGGAGGCCCTGGGAGAGGTAGTAGTGCCAGTCGTTGCGGCCGTAGAGGACGGCGAGGGATTGGGAGAGGTTGAAGTAGAGGAATTTGTAGGGGGGGAAGGCCCATTGGCCAAAGTAGAGGCGGTCTGAGGTTAGGGAGAGGGAGAGGACGAGGGTGCCGCAGAGGAGGGCTTCGCGGAGGAGGAGGAGGATGGTTTGCGGGGTGAGGACGGAGGTGGTGGAGCCGGGTCCGGAGCCGGAGTGGAGGGGCCGGAGGAGAGTTGCGAGGGCGATTGGTATCCAGATGAGGATGTTTGTTGGGCGGAGGAGGACTGCTGTTGCGGCAAGGACGAGGGATAGGCGGAGACTGTTGGCGTGTGAGTGAATGTGTTTTTCTTTGGAGGCCGGTTCAGGTGGGTAGCCGGCCGGTGTCAGGATGCGAGAGACGGAAACGTACCTAGTGAGCGTCCCTGGCGTGTGCAAGATGGACCTTGCGGGCTTGGGGTTCTCCTTTTCCGTCTTTGCATCACCGAGGAGCTCCCAGGGCCAGTAGTTGAGGGCCATGATGGTGAGCGTGGTCTCGAGCGAGTTGGAAAAGGTGCGGGTGGAGCAGTACCATTGGAAAGGACTAAACATGCTCATGAACAGCTATACGAGGACGTCGCGTCAGCCATGTGTTGACGAGTTGTGCGGAGGTAGCAGTTGTAACGGCTACTGGTGGTGGTAGTGGTGGTGATGGCGACTTACAGCGAACCATGAGACGGAGCTATCGGCGCCGTAGATCTTGACGGCCAGCTGCCAGGTGTACCAGTCGCCGGCGGCGGCAAAGACGGCCTGCGCGGCCTTTGGAGCGGCGAGGAGGAGCCATGGCCTGATGATGGGGAGGGGCCGGGCGACGAGGTCTGCGAGGGTGTAGACGCCGGCGAAGAGGGCGGGATGCAGCGAGGAGCGGAGCTGGTTTCTCCATTCCTGGGGTGGGTGTGTTAGTTGCACGTGGGATCAACGAAGCTTGTGAATAGTGATGATGGATAAAAAATTGCGAATAGAGAGAGCATGGAAACTCACCCAGGTGATCCAGGCGCCGCTCCCTTGGCCAAAGGCGATGCGCCAGGCGGGTTCGAGGGCCTGAAAGTACTCGTCGGGCTGGAAAAAGGTGAGGACCCACCAGGCGTTGAGGAGACGGATGACGAGGAGGGACCGGAAGACGGAGGGCTTGTTGTGCTCGTTACGAACTGCCATTAGGAGTTCGGGGGCGGGCGGGGAGCCGACGGAAGCCATTGTGGATACGGTGAGTCGAGAGTTTTGTGGCCGGCGGCGGCGGCGGCAGTCTGGCGGGGTGGGGGGACGGAAGGGACTTGTTGCGTAATCATCGGTCGTCGGACGGGGGGGAAGGGGGGGGAGGGGGTTGCGGTGAGCTGGTAAGGGTGGAATGACCTTTCTTGCAGGAGCGGCGACGGCGTTGGCGGCGTGGGAAACGAACGGTTCGGTCAACGCAACGGGGAGCCCGATGGGTTTTTGGAGCGATGAGGCGAGTCAGGGTGTGTGTTGATGGTGGTGCCGTTTGTTCGAATGTATGCTCGTGTGTCAAACTGAACAGACTTTTCTCTTCTTTTTCTCGCCCTTTTTCCTTTTCTCGCGGTTTGCCGTGTGGCCGTTAGCTAAGGGGGGGCACAGGGGAAGAGAGAAAGGAGTGTGTGGGCTCTGATGGAAAAGTTGATGCCGAAAAGCGGTGTTCTCGATCGCTAATGGAATGTCGAGACGGGAAGGCCAGGGATGTTGCGGGCTTACGGCAGGGCCGTGGACGGAAGCAGAGGCGCTAAGTTTCATTGACAGGCCAGCGTCCTCAGGCAATTGGTCACTAAAGAATCAGTCGCCGAAGCCTGAAGAACCTACCTGAGGTACCTACCTTACCTACGTACCTTACCTACGTACCTTACCTACGTACCTTACCTACGTACCTTACCTACGTACCTCAAGGTAGTAAGGTGATGAGGACACAAGACCAAATGTAGCCTTGTTGCCTTGCTTATCAGGCAACCAAAATCAGTACTTACTCTCAGGCAGGAACCTGGTGATATCCACTTATCCAGCGGTAAAACAGATGCTCATTGGATCCCGTGATGTCTCCATATAACTGGACGGCCCTATTGGATCCGAGCAGCGGGAATGGAAATAGCGTCTTTGTCATTGGGCCACGGAGCCCTTTCCTCTGCCGTCCGCATCGGCCCCAGTAGCAGGCACTCTGTCACTCTGCGTATTCTCCACGCACCACGTTCCATGGTTTATCTACATGTAATTCCCTATCTTGTTCTACTCAGTCCAATCGCACGTCGTTGGATATAGTGCCTACATGTATGCGGTTTCTCGAGTTGTCGACAAACGGTTACACTGTTGGCCGTCTGCAACGCAAAAGAAATATGATAGCCTAGATAGGGCTTGCTGTGCCTCTCCAACGCCGCAAGCACAGATGCCCGTTATCGGCCTCGCTGCATTCCTCATTCCTCCCGCCGCATTGGCAAGAGGCTCTCGGCTCGGCTTGGTTGCTCCCTCTGACGGGATTGGTGGTTTCCTCTCTTGAAAGTCGACTTTCCATCATCAACAACACCATGCAGTCATCTGCCCCCCTTCCCCCAGACTACAACCCGCGGCAACACCAAGCAACCGCGTCCTGTTCCATATTCCATTACGAGATTCTTACCCCAGAGAAAAGCATCAAAGAAACCACCGGTGACCGAGCGCACTGCTTCTTCCTACGTCCGCGCCACCCCTCCCCTCTCTCCCCCCGGGGCCATGTGACTGAATTGGCACCGGGATGGTTTCCCTTACATGGCCCCCTCGGGCGTCATCCTGCCCACTCACCCACTTGAGCCGCTTATACCTGCGCTTAGGGGAACATACCTGCACTTAAAGGCATAGTGGCGCGCCTTCTGACTCCGACACCAAGAGTTTGGTTCCAGGTCAAGGTCCAGCCGTTTTTCACACACTTTGCATGGCTTAGATTTTTTAAATCCACAAACTGGCCAGAACCCGTCATGCCCGTCTCGTCTGCTTTGTCTTTCGTGCTTGTACCAGCCCGGCAGGCCTACTACCTATGTACTTCCTACTCGTATCGTCCGCCTCCGGCCATGTTTGGACCCTGTCCATGTTGCCGCCGCCGCCGCCGCTTTCCCACGACCACCTGGTTTCCTGGTTTTCTGCTTCCGTATCGCGCTTGAGTCCTCTTAGTCAAGGATGGCCGGGCTTGCTGCCAGGGGGGGTATAACTACCCAAGACCCCGCGATTTGCCCCTCGTTCCCGTCCTCTTCCCTTGACGCTCTCCTTCTCTCAACTCTCCATCTTCTTGCCCGCGAACCATACTTGAACGGCCACTTGTCCTGAGTCGCAAACACTCTCTGACAACAATTGAACGTTCTCTGGAGCCAATTGATCCTTTTTCAAGTACCCATTCCACTCACCTCATCCACACTGTTCTCTCTCTCTCTCTCACCAAGTCCATCCAACGTAAATCAGGCAACATGGCCCCCCACGCAAACGGCGGCACCCCTCAGTCCAATGGCGGAGTGGAGTCGAGATACCACGCCTCTTCCACCCAGGCCGCGATCAAGTCCGAGGAGGAGCTCGCCGCCCACAACTACCACCCGCTGCCCGTCGTCTTCTCCAAGGCCAGCGGCGTCCACGTCTGGGATCCCGAGGGCAAGCAGTACCTCGATTTCCTCTCCGCCTACAGCGCCGTCAACCAAGGCCACTGCCACCCCGAGCTGGTCAAGGCCCTGACCGAGCAGGCCAGCAGACTGACTCTCAGCTCGCGAGCCTTCTACAACGATGTCTTCCCCAAGTGGGCCGAGAAGATCCAGCAGGTCTTTGGCTACGACATGGTCTTGCCCATGAACACGGGCGCCGAGGCCGTCGAGACCGCAATCAAGATTGCGCGCAAGTGGGCGTACAAGGTCAAGGGCGTTGAGCAGGGCAAGGCTCTGGTCTTCTCCGTCAACGACAATTTCCACGGCCGAACAGTGAGTACCTTTCTGAGATGCTGCAGCTAGCAACTGCGTTTCCCTCCCGGACCAAGGCTGACATGAAACCCCCCCCAGATGACTGCCATCTCTCTGTCAGTCGACCCCGAATCGAGGGACAATTACGGCCCCTATGTCCCCAACATCGGCGCCCTGAACCCTTCCACGGGCAAGGCCATTCGCTACAACAACGTCGAGGATATCGAGGCGGTCTTCGAGGCGCACGGCAAGGACACTGCTGCCATCATCATCGAGCCGATCCAGGGCGAGGCTGGCGTCGTCGTCCCCGACGACGACTACCTGAAGAGAGTGAATGACCTTTGCAAGAAGCACAACGTCCTCTTCATCTGCGACGAGATCCAGACTGGTATCGGCCGCACCGGGCGCATGTTGTGCTCCCAGTGGGCCGGCATCAAGCCCGATATGATCACCCTGGGCAAGGCCATCTCTGGCGGTCTGTACCCCGTCAGCTGCGTTCTGTCGAGCAAGGAGATCATGCTTGTCGTTGAGCCCGGCACCCACGGTTCCACCTACGGCGGTAACCCCCTGGGATGCGCGGTGTCCATCCGCGCGTTGGAGATCATGGAGGAGGAAGACCTGACCGCCAAGGCTGAGAAGCTCGGAAACATCTTCCGCGAAGGAATCAGAGCCTTCAACTCGCCCATCGTCGAGCTGGTGCGTGGAAAGGGTCTCCTCAACGCCGTGGTCATTGACGAGTCGGCCACCGCTGGCCGCACGGCCTGGGACCTGTGCCTGTTGTTGAAGGAGAAGGGTCTCCTGGTAAGTTGCAAACGCCCCTGGTACAATATCACACACGGCACATGACTGACTCGTCTGCTTTTCACAGGCCAAGCCTACGCACGGCAACATCATCCGCTTCGCCCCTCCTTTGGTCATCACCGAGACCGAGCTTCGCAAGGCCATCAACATCATTGGCGAGGCGCTCAAGGAGCTCCCCACTGTCGAGAAGGCGGCGCACCACTAAGTGAATGTAGAGGCTCACTGAGATAGTAGTGATGACGGACAGATACGCTCTCCGACGAGGTGTACTTGTCAATGATCGTCGAGCGGCTGGTGTCCTGTCACACCACACTTTTGTGTGGTGTACGGTTGGTAAAGTCGGGATCCAAAGACGGACTCTGATGAATAGCCTTAATGACGCAGCATTTTGCGACTTGGTATGAATATCTAGTTGGGGGTCGTCAAAGAGCATCGCTTCCTCGGAGGCGCATGTCATTTGTCTTCCCTCGAAAGAGGGAGAAAAAAAGGAGGCAGCTTCAAGGTTGCAGCGCGGGGGGGGGGGGGGGGGGCCGGGGGGGGTCCCCCGGCGGGGTCGGGTACACCCCTTACCTTTCCCGGGCAAAGGAAACATTTGGGCCCCCTTTTTTTTTTTTCAAAATTATTCGCATACGGGTAGGGGACAGGGAGAAAAAGAGAGTGAAAGCCCAGAGGGGCGGGGGGGGGGGGGGGGGGGGGGGGGGGGGTCCGGGGTGGTCTCACGGCAGGGTCAGGTCACACGCTTACCCTTGCCCGGGACAGGCAACATTTGGGATCCCTCTTTTTTTTTTCCAAATTCATCGCATACGGGTACGGAGCATGGAGCATACGGAGCATATAGCCCATCGGCGCGGGGGAAGCAGAGGGCGTACTGTGCAAAAGCATTCGCCGCTCCCCAATGTTACTTCTTTAGATGTCGCATACCCAACGGCGCTGTGGCTGGTCCCTCGAAGGACTGCTCCATGGATACATTCAGTTAGAGATTAGAACGAGCTAAGAAAAAAAGACAGTTGTCTAAACGAGAAAGAGGTGTTGAAAAGTACGCGGGATGTATACTGAAAAGTCGCACCACGCGTCGCTGACACCACCGGCGATGCCTCGTTCCTGTGAGACTGTACGTCAGTGGCCAGATGCTGGAGCTGGAGCTGTACGAATCTGGTAAGCTGCGTTTTCGCATGCATGGCTTCTCGGCAGGCAGATGTGGCTGGGTAGGTAGTCGGGCAAACCTGAAAAGGGTGGTGTCGGACACGTTGAGCCGCATCGAAAGCTGTTCTTCCCACCCTCTCTCTCTCTCTCTCTGTACCGTCATATCTCTCGTACATGTCCCTGTTCACGCGCTCATACGCTCGACGTTGTCGTGACCCAGACCCGGGCGGTCGACTCAAGCTCTCTCTCTCTCACACGTTTCAGTCTGGTGCTTGTAAAGTAGATGAGCTTACTCGCTGAATAGACGTGCGTTGTTCGGTATGTTTCTGTATGTTCTTATGACACATGACACCTTACATTTAGATACGTCTTGTTACGGGATAATGAAACGAAAGTAGTTCAATTTTCCTAGTTTCTATTGGACGTTTTACACTCGGGTTGTTTTTTTCTTGACTCACGTCATATCTACCATTATCTCAGTTGAGAATGTCAAACGATGGTAGACAGACAGACACATCTTGGTCCGCTCACAGCTAGCTGCCTAGAAACATCTTGACGCCAAGAACTTACGTGGTACATATTAGCTCTGTGTCGTCAATATATCTCTGTAGGCAGAGGTTTGGATCCCCCCCCCCCCCCCCTTCTCCTCTCTCTCCTTGACTCCTGCGCTGGCTATATGGCATCTGAAGGGTTGAGTCACACGAGATGGAGCCAAGATGGAGTGCGGGCAACCGGGCAGGCAAACCAGTTCAGGGGTTAGAACACAGTTGAGGCCAAATGTACCCACCCTCACAGAACGTATGGTGGAGTAGCGAGTTTATTGTTGTCTATAGAATCCTACCTTGACGGAGAGGGATAGAGGGGTTCATCCGCGTGGATCGTTCCCCAGAGGGTGGAGGGCACCGTGTGCTCTTCGTCTAGAAACCATGTGTACACCGGGATTTGCGTCTGCGTGAATGAAACAAGAGAGAATGGTGCTCTCTAGGGCGAAATGAGCTTTCAACCAGCAGTTTGCTGACCATGTTGCGTCTGCCTTGGGAAGAAGATGATGATGTTGCGTATCCGGTATGAGTCGCTGTCAACAACAAGTCTAAGCTCTCAGTAGAAGTGTTAGCGGACGAGCCAAGGCATAAGCTCAAACAGGTCTCGACCGGCAAGATCGCCATCTCACGGGGAGAGGGATGCTGCAGTTGACCAAATCGATCTGCCATCACTCTATATCTCAGTGTCAACGTAAGCCAATTCAAAAACAGTGTCGCGTCTCCCAGATTCTGCTGCAGAAAACGCAAAGTCGTCTACGAGCTTGTGTCGATGACTTGGAGATCTTTAACGCTGTCCGAGGCAGACGCCGAGTCCAGTAAGCCATCCCTGTTACACAAAGGTGTGTTATCCCAGGCGATCCGGCAGATTGAAGCTTGTCAGTTGCGCCAGAGAGAAACGGCCGAGTTAGTTGATCGACGCTGCGGTGAACCGTAATTCTTCCAAGTATCGGGGCCAGCGTTGAGCACAAGATTCAGGTGTGCTGCGTACTTTGGGCTTCAGCCCCATTCCCCTGAGCGCCTTAGACGTCATGTGTTAGCAAGGCGATCAGGTTTTCGATATCGGGGAGTCAGGGAGATTCGAGACGCAATCGACGGATCCTACCGTTTTTCGTGGAGCAGTGATGAGTGCTGCCTGTGAGACCTGGGTTACGATACAATGAAGGAAGCCTGTTTTCTTGCGGACAAAACTGTAAAGATGGGAAGTGTTGCTACCAGGCAGAGCCACTGATCTAGGCATGCCCATTCCAGGGGTGCTCTTGATTTTGTGAGTCGAAGCCTGCAACAGGGCATGGTATCCGTACTTCTAGTGACACAAATGGCTAGGCAGAAACCCTGGCAGTACCTTGGCGGGAGCCAGAACATGGACGTAGTTTTCAAGCCTCCTATGCGGAGACGTCCATCGTTACGTATCAGAGGTGCTGCAAAAACCCGAACAGGGCATGCAGATTCGGCGACACGGCAATGAGCGCGGCCAATAACTTCGGGGAAGCATCGAGTCGTTCGAGAGAAGAAAATATGATGCCGGTCTTGATTGGCGCTCCGCATTGCGCGTCAAACAGCCTGGTCTAAACACCCCCAACTTGGCCACGCTGTAAGGCGAGATGAAGGGGTAATTCTCGACCGTCATCTTTCCGTAGGGGCAGAAGTCGTACTTCCCCAGACTTCTGCGTCGACTTTGGAGCCGCACCTTGATCGCCTGTGCCACTCCGTCTTTCCTCCGTTCAGTTTGTGCTTCACTGTGGCCACTCATTGATATTGGTGATTGGCCTGAAGACGATAGATGGATTGTCGATCGCTGCCGGCGAGGCTGTCATTTTGACGCTAGGACCTCGGGTGATGCGGGCATCCACCCGCCAAGGGGGTGGGCGGCAGGCGGAGGAGCTTGAAGTTGGAGCACGCGGGGATGGGTCCCCGTGTGGTACTCGGGAGGGATGGACTAGAGCGTGAAGATCGGCCGGGGAACCAAGACCTGTCTGATAGAGGCCGCCCGGAACAACTGCTCCATAGTTAGGGTCGAAAAGTTGATATGATGAAGCCGAACGTTTCGCACCCTTCTACTTCGTAGCTATAGAAGATAGGGTGGCTTTTTGTACGCCACAAAAGGTGTATCTTGAGCGGACAGTGATCGTCGAGAATGGATGACGGCTCCGAGGGCGCGGCACCCGATTCGGATTGCCCCTTTGGGACGGCGAATGGGCTGGCCAGCGAGACATGTGTCTCGGAGGTGTTAGTGGGTTAGTGGAGTGGGTTGCGCCGTCAATGGTTGCTGCCAGCCGGCCAGGCACACCGAACGACTCTCTGCCTTGGTCTTTTGAGCTTCACCTCTTGGCCGCTCTACTTCAGAGAGATTTGTAGTGGGGATGTGTGTGATTCGAGACCAGAACTGGTGATGTCAAAAGGTTCCATTATCACCAGACAGGGGTTCCAGGCGACTTGTGGAAGCCTGAGGCATCAACAGAACCACATGTAAAGTCTAGGCAGAAAAGTCGATTCTTTTGATCAATGGTTCGTGCCGTTGGATAGGCGCATGCATGGCAGGAGAAAGTGAGGAGAAACTTCGTTTGGACGAGTGGTTGCCTGAGACGTGCACACATGGCAAAGACGTCTGGATTGGGATGAGAGGGTGACACGAGAGTAAGTTAGGCCATGGATGAAATCGTCGGAGAAGTATCGGCCTGGGACACTTGTGCGTCGTGGTGGTCACCGAAGCAGTACGGTACTTTCCTGCAAAGTAGCGATGCAGCTATGCTAGAGAGGTTCCTGTTGGTTCTCGCGTTGTTTGAGGCATGCATATCGAGTAAGGCTGTTGCGTCTCTAGTTCCAACGATTCCCGAGACCCCGACAATAGTGACAATACGACCTGTTGTGGGTGATGGGTGTGTCCTGGTTGGTCGCGCGGCGTTTGGACGCATGTCTTATCTCATTCCGTCCGCCAGGCAAGGAGACAACGACGAGAGCTACGGTCAGCGCTACCATTGAAGAAATACAAAGTGGAAGTGGACAAAGTCTCGATCCCGGACAGTCGAGTCTCGAGACAGTGCCAGCGCGGATCTGCCGTCTGTCGATCCGGTTGGCTGGTACCAAGAGCGACGGCAGGTGGCGCCAGGCAAGAAGGTGAGCAGCCTGAGCAATGAGACGAGCTTGAGGCGAGGCAAGGCGAAGCAGGGACGAGCAGCCCCCGAGGATAGGTAGCTGATTGCCCAGATGAGCGTGCTGGGCTGCAGGCGAAGAGTTGATGATTGCGCAAGATTCGTTGCAAAGTATGGGGCTTGCGTTTGCCGTTAGTCAAGATTGGATCAGATACCCAGTTGACGGGGGGTGTTGTTTGGACCGGAAACCTAAGTTTGGAGGCGATGAATGACAAGTCGACGACGGCAGCGCACTCGGGCATAGAACGTAGCGTAGCGTAGCAAGCGTTGGTAGACTTTTTGACTTTGGGACCATGTATCGGTAAGGTAGGTGAGGTACTTTGAAGTTTGACACCGTCATTACCGAGTCGTTTTAGCTGTGGAACACCAGATTGCGCCATGGCTCGCTGGAATGAGGAGACAGAACGATTCTGTCGGTACCATCAAGGCTTAAAGCCAGAGAAAGAGACTGGATAGCTTTGAGCACACTCGGGATGCTCGAATCGGTCGACCTGCTGGTTTCAACGGTGATTGACAGCTGGCTAGTCCAACCGCTGGCGTGGCTGGTGATTTTCACATGAGATAACGAGATGCAGCATGTGTTTGCTGCTGCTAGGGAGATTGCGGGTAGGTAGTTGCCGTCTATCAGGGTAGTTTTCGGAAACCTTGGTGCTCTGTGGGTTCTGGTGGCTCAGCGGAACAGATCTGATGCAAGGCCCATCGGTCCCTGAAGTCCACTTTGGCGCTGGTTCAATGTTGCTAGTGTGTGGCCCCAAAGGGTGATCAATCGTATCCGAGGGCAGCGGTGTATGTCGGAAAGGTACCTTTGATGACTTGTGTACTTTGGTTGGCCGAGAGGTAGACCGAAACACAGCGTAACTGACGTGTCGAAACAACTCAGAGAGGTCTGGGACTCTGGGACAGCGGGCATGTTTTCCATGCGGTCCGGGTGTTCTGGCGTGCATCTGGAAGGGCGGATGGAATGCTCCAAAGGTGGACTGCAGGCAGCTAGGGACCTAAGCAGCGTGTCTTGGTGTAAGGTTTGCCGTGCTCCGTTCACACTGTAAAGTAAAGCCAGGTGGATAGGGTTCCATCGCAAGCATGCTGTTGCAGGGGAGAGATCGAGAACGGGTTCGCTGGAGTCGGGCCAAAGGTGGTAACAAAATGTAAGGGGTGAGGAGACCAGGTCGGATTGGAGGCGTGGATTGGACGGAAGAGTGGCCGTTATTACTGGGAACCTTGTTCGACGAAGACCTGACGATGTGATGATGAAATCCAGTAGCAGGGACGAGCGGGCAGGCGCAAGGTGTTCCAGCAGCTAAAGTGTATCGTGCTGCACAGTGGAAGCTACGGGTTCGGAGACAATGAACCTCTGCGTCTCTGTTGAGTCGAGAGGTGGGCTCGGTGAGCCTACACCAGCTAGTCTCCTCGCCTCGTCGATGCCTTGTCGTTCACTCACCGCCCGTCATTTGTCTCCCGTCGTTTGTCTATTGAATGAGCGACATGCTCTGCAATGCACGAGAGGTTTGATATTGATGAGAGGTGGTCCATGGCAACGCGGTGTGACGATGAGGAGCAGGGCCTCGGCCTCGACCCCTTGACTCTTGAGAGGTTCTTGTTTTGTTATTGGAGTCAAGTCAAGGATTCATGACAGTTGAGTTGCCCACAAACAGCTTCCTCAGGCACCGCCTCCATAGGTACTGGATTATGCCTCAGGCTCTTTAGTCCTCGAGCACAGCCGAGGGTAAGAGTCCAGGTCGTGTCCGTATTGTCTACTCCGTACCGTGAATAGAACGGCCGTGCTCTCCCTGGGTATCTGAACGGAGTATCCGTACGGATAAGATACATGCGTTTGCGTGTTCTTGCTTCCCGGTCGCAATAGGAATAGCAGCCGCAGAGGCAGAAAGGCAAGTCTGCGGCTTGGGCCATGGGGTAAGATAGAGAATGGCCATGAACTCGAGCCCTTGACACCCATGGTGGTGAATGGTGAGTGGTGACATTGTACCCAAGAGGTTGGAGCTGGCTGCGTTGTCTCTGCGCCTTCCCAGACACGGAAGTTAGGCGAGTTCGGCGAGTGGAGACGATTCTGGAGGGTCTGGGAAGTCTGGACGAGAGGAGCCGTGGGGGGAGGAATGCAGACGAGATGCAAACGCCGAAACAGAACACCCTATTTTCTGTCACCCCGGATGTCGTATCGTGCTGATCAGAAGATGTATCCGTATGTCGCCGCAGCCGCAGCCGCTAGTCTAATCAAAGATGACAAGACTCAGAGATAAGGCGTGCTGGTCCGGGGGAGATGAGGAAGACGGGCGCGAGCCTGCGAGGATAAGGACGAGTGCGAGGACGACAACGAAGGGGTGCAGGAAGAGGAAGGCGGTGGTGGTGGGCGGTGGACGGATTGGTGCGCTACCTAACCCCAACTTGAGGTACCTAGGTACCTTGCTGAACCGTGCGTCTTATCGCGATACATGAGCCTTATCGCGCCATGATGGCATTTGTGTGCGACAGTGGGTGATACCCGGTACCTCAAGGTAAGGTAGGTACTTGACCTTTGCGCAAGCAATACTGCCTAGGTACTAGGTTTATAGCCAAGGAACCAAGGACCCAAGGACCAAATGGTGAGAAGCTTTGAAGGAGAATCCCAAAAGCCCACCTACCTCACCTCAAGCAAGCAAGGCAGATGGATTTTGTGAAGCACTGAGGGCTGAAGAGTAAAAGGCAGGTGTGCGTGACCGACACCGGACTGGTACAGCCAAGGTATCCCTCTCCAATGAGACCCCCGTCGCACCACCACGCAGCACCAAAAGGACCCCTGACCAGTGACCACGAGGATACGAGCGGGGGTGGTTGCGATGCACCTGCATTGGCTGTTCCGGAACGGCATATGGCTGGGTACGTACCGCATCGTGACACTCAAGGACTCCTACCTTTACATAAAGTAGTACGTACCTTAGGTACTCCTCACTCCGAGCACTCGCACAATTGGGGAAAAAGCTCCACCGGGCAGCGCAGCGCAGAGCATCACGAGCCCCCAAACCCAAGGGTCGCCTAGGCAAAGCTCACGTTTCTCTGGTCACTTGCCCCCTCAGAGTCCAACAATAACAAACTACACTGTGTGTTCGGTTTCTGATGTCGAGTCAAGCACAAGGAGGATCGTCGTCTTTCTTGTTGGAGTTGCGCCTTGGACAAATGACTGTCGTCCCCTGATGCATTATATACTTCCTGAAGGTGCTCCGTACACTACAATAATAAATGGATTTGGAGAGACAGACACACGCAAGCGCCCTCGCTATATGCGACCCCTTCGCTCTCTTGCGCCCCCCTGGTCAGGCAGATAGACACACTACATCATCGACACCAACCCTGGCCACCTGGATCTATCTGTCTTGGTCAGTCAGACTGGGGCACGTCGTGATCGTGGTTGTAACTCACAGTGTGAGTGACAGGGAGCGAGAAAGAGGCGTGGAAATACAAGAGAGACTAGAAAGGAGAGACTGGGAGGCACAGAGAGAGCACAGCTGCCGCCTCTCCATGCTGTCCTACGCGCAGCATCACAGCGCATTCACCCAAACCCAACAAACCATCAATCCACCAATCCACCGCCTCCATCTTCTTCAACATTCCGAATCAGGAGAAGACCAAGCACCCCAAGCACCATCTCAAAACCCATCCTCGAGGCATCCGTCCCTTTTGTTCATCACCTACTGTATACTACGTAGGTAGTCCAGACCAATCCCCTACCTTACCTTGCCCTCCCCGGTTTCCTGTGCCCTGTCTGTCACCTTGGGATCTCCAACCATCAGTTGTGTACGGATACGCGGTATGTACCCCCGCCTGCAGTGTATCCATAGGGATACCTACCCGACTGCATAAAGTATGTATCAAAAGCAACCACCGCCAGGGTAACGCAGCGCATCGCTTCGCTTCGGACACGGCAAGACGCAGGCCACAGTTCTGAGTCCTCAGTCCATGCCGGCTCCGATTAATCAGGACTCACCACCTTACTGTGTACTGTGTAAATGCAGTAATAGATTCCCGTCCTTGTCATTGACGGGACAGTCACTGACACTGGGCTCCCGTCCCATCTGGCGCTACTGCTGCGCCGCTGCTTGCTTCCTCCAGTCCCGATCTACTACATGCCTTGCGGTACCCACGCTACCTTCCATACAGTAGGAGAGGAACTTTGACTGTAGACTGCCAGTGACAGTCAAAAAGGGCTGCTACCGCGGCCAACCTGGAAATGTACGGGGGGTACCTACCCAGGTAAGGTATAGGTAGACAAGGTTAGGTACCTCTCACGGTCTCACCTGGCCACCAGGACCTCCAAGCGCCCTTTATCGCAATCAACAATTGGACCTTCCCCTGCACCTCCCTATCTAATCAGTAGGCCTTATCCACTCTGCGCCCCATCCACCTCACCCTTCGTCACTCGCTCCCGTCCTGCGCTGCCCGGCTGGCTCCAGGTCTGTCACTCAACCCTCTCTCGGCGCGTCCCTTGACCTTCTTCTACATCGCCTGCCCATCCCATCCTGACCGCCCGCCACTCCTCTCACTCACGTCTCTCTCTCACCCCTTCGCCAACCTCGCTCGACCTTATCCGTCAACTATTCTCTCTTTCCACCTCCTACCTCTCTCTACTCACCACATTCACGACATCCCCTCGACTTCTCTGCCCCTCCTCGGTTGCTCTCCGCGAAAGCCCTTTGTGCGCATACCTTACCACCAACATCTAACACCATCCATCGCCTGCCCGTTTGTACCGCCGTTTGCTTCGTCCACATAACCGCCTCTCTCTCTCTCTCTCGGTCTCCCGCTCCATCAGGGTACCTCTCGAGTACACAACGTCACGTCCTTGGTAGCTCCGAGTCATTAGCTTGACCTTGGATTTTGCCTGACTCTTGTCCTGAAAAAGGTACCTTTCCCCTCCGAACTTGCTCCAAACTCTCCGATATACTCCCAGAGAGCCTCAAACGGCCTGGTACCTTCTCCTTGGCTTGCTTCCTAACGCTCACCGTCCACCCGTATTAGTCACATTTCTCTCGATACTTCCAGCGCCTCCCTCCTTCAACTCCTTCTCCGATCACCGCTCGATACACCACGACCCCCCCGAACAAATCCATCCTTGCCCTTCTTTACCTTCTTCGACTTTCGCTTCGTCGACACAATCCTGCACCCACCCACGGACGCTACGACGGTCCTTCCCTTCTGCATCAACCTGGTCCGCGTGCACCCCGACCTATCGGATACCTGCCTGTCGCTGCCTTCACAGTCCCCTACCTTTCGAAGCACCGACACCAGGGTTCTGGCTGCTGCTCCCGGTTCTGCCTGATCTCCTCTTGCTTCTCTTTCGGCGCACCTTTCTTCCGCCAAATCTATCGAATAAATCCATCACAACCACCATCTCCCCAATTTCGATCGTGTACATGACACCCCATCCGGCCGACGTCTTTCGAATAGCATAGGCCAAAGGCCTGACCTGAACGCTACCCCCGAACTCGCATCCTCACAAGCAGCATTACAGGCGATCAACATGGCGGAACGGTTACCCACCTCGTCCTCTTCAGGACGCAGGCGACGCGAAGGCGACGCTTCTATCGGAGACTTTGTTATTGGAGGCGAAATCGGCAAGGGCAGCTTTGCCCAGGTGTACAGCGGTCACCACAAGGTTCGCCAGCTCCCCTGTCCGTCGTGTTTTCCTTGAGGCCTGTTGCGTGTATCACCTTCTGTTGTTCCTCCTGATTTGCTCAAGTGCTATGACTCAACTTTGGCTTGCATTGTTGTGTTGCTCCAAATGTGCTAATTCTTCTTTAATAGAACTCCAAGGCAACCGTCGCTATCAAATCAGTAGAAATGGGACGCTTGAATAACAAGCTACGAGAGAACTTGTACGGAGAGATCCAGATCCTCAAGACTCTTCGCCACCCGCACATCGTCGCCCTCCATGACTGCGTCGAATCAGCCACACATATCAACCTGGTGATGGAATACTGTGAGCTCGGTGACTTGTCATTGTTCATCAAGAAGAGGGACAAGCTAAGCACCAACCCTGCAACGCACGAGATGGCGAGGAAGTACCCCGTTACCCCTAATTCGGGTCTCCATGAGGTTGTCACACGCCATTTCCTTCAACAGCTCGGCAGCGCTCTCAAGTTCCTGCGAGAGAAGAATTACGTTCACCGCGACGTCAAGCCTCAGAACCTTTTGCTCCTACCATCACCAAGATTCAGGGAGGCACACTCCCGCCCCATCTTGACCGCCAGCCAGGATTCACTGATTCCCAATGCCGGTCTCGCTTCTCTTCCGATGCTGAAGCTCGCAGATTTCGGCTTCGCTCGTGTCCTCCCGTCAACGTCGCTCGCCGACACTCTCTGCGGATCTCCTCTCTACATGGCTCCAGAAATCCTTCGCTATGAGCGGTACGACGCGAAGGCCGACCTGTGGTCTGTAGGCACGGTGTTATACGAGATGATTACTGGTCGTCCGCCATTCCGCGCCCGGAACCACGTAGAGCTCTTGCGAAAGATCGAAGCTGCCGAAGATCGGGTTAAGTACCCCAAGGAGCTCGTGGTCAGTAAAGAGCTGGTCAAGCTCATCGGCAAGCTTCTCACTCGTAACCCGGTCGAACGCATGAGATTCGAAGACTTCTTCAACGATCCAATTTTGACAGAACCCATTCCAGGCACTGTTGAAGATGATGCGCCGCCGAAGCCTGAGGCAAAGGCTTCGCGCGATCTGCGGTCTCTCGGCAGGTCCGATTCCACGTCATCGTTATCACGTCGGCTCTCTCTTCGCCGGCAAACAGAGACTGAGCCTGTACGTGAGCAAGGCGAGTCAGCAAAATCGCCTCGTGAGAAGCCTCTTAGATCGCCGAAATTGCCCAGTCCCATCGAAGGGCGCGCCCAGCAGGCCATTGATGCTGCGCCACGTCCAGGCCAGTCTCCGGGGCAAGAAGTTGGGGAGGGACTCGGAATTCGTCGTCCGCCTATGGCCCAACCCTCCACTTCTGCACCAGCCCGGCCACACAGACTCTCTAATGCAGCTCTCAACCGGCCTTCTGCACGAGCCTCCGCCTCCCCGCCGACATCGTACTTGAACGACAATCCGGCAAGAAACAGACTTCGTCCCGTCACCGAGCGGAGTGTCACCGAACAAGAGAAGGCGGCACAAGATGTGGCATTTGAGCGAGACTATGTTGTGGTCGAAAAGAAGCACGTTGAGGTAAACGCGTTTGCTGATGAAATGGCCGCTAACCCACGTCTCACGTCACTCTCGCCAAAGACTGGCCAGATGATTCGCCGAGCCACGCAACAGGGACCGCCCACCTCGACGACCGGCGCCGGCCGAGTCCAGCCATCCAGTGCAGTTCAGATCGCTTCAGGCAAGGGGCGTCCCGGTCATGAGAGCCGCGATTCGTACGACGGGAAGAATTTCTCCGCCAGCCCGACAACTCAAGGCTTTATCGCCAAAGCTATTTCAGACGCCAGCGTACGATTGTTCGGATTCAAGGTACCGCAGCATGTGCTGGGCGGAAAGGGGGCGTCTCCTCCTCTGTACAGCCCATTCCCTGCCTACCCTACCCCTTCAGGTCCCGTCGGCCTCATCGGCGATGGAAAGCAAAACGCACCAGCCGACGAAGATGCGCGAGCTGTCAAGCTCATCCAGGATTTCGCTCACCGAAGTGACTGTGTCTATGGGTTTGCCGAAGTCAAGTACAAGCAGCTTTTCCCTCTCGCCCCGTCAATGGAGCACGGACTCGGTGGTACGCCGACCGATCAGATCACTGGCGATGAGGACGGCCTCACAATCGATGCCGAGGTTTCCTTGTCTGAGGAGGCTTTGGTCCTGTACGTCAAGGCTCTGACGTTGCTGGCTAGAGCCATGGACGCTGCAAGCCTATGGTGGTCACAAAAGACACGTGGGGATACAACATCTGCGGCAGAGGTGTCCAAAGAGGGCCTCGCTCAGCGCATCAACTCCACCGTTCAATGGGTTCGGACTCGTTTCAACGAAGTCTTGGAGAAGACCGAGGTCGTCCGGATGAAACTCATTGCCGTCCAGCAAAAGCTTCCTGAGGATCATCCCAGCCACCCGAGCAACCACGGCGGAGTCTCGGCTTCGTCAGCTACTTCAAGCACCCCCGATGTCTACCTCACGCCGGGCATTAGTGCGGAGAAGTTGATGTACGACCGAGCCATCGAGATGAGCAGAACAGCCGCCATTGATGAAATTACCAACGAGAACCTTGAGGGTTGCGTCACGTATTATGTCACGGCCATTCGGATGCTGGAGGCTGTTTTGGACAACGACGAAGACGCAGTAAAGCGGCGCTACTCTAGCTCAGGCAAGGAGTTGCCTCGCGAGGAGACGTCTAGTGACCTGGACAGCGACGACCAGCTGGCCGTGAATCGGAGTAAGTGATGAGCAGCTGTATCCATGCTTTCCTATGGCACTAACATTTGGCAGTGATTCAAATGATTACCGCACGTCTCTCAACTGTCCGCAAGAAGATGGCCATGATTGCAGAGGCATCGAGGTCGCAGCAGGCCGCGCAGCTCCAAGGCCGCAGACGTAGCGGGGATGTGACGCCTCGCAGCGTGCCATCGCACGCGTCGTAAGGCGCAAGAAATCGATAGGGAGGGCATCGCTCTTGTTTCACTGGAAAACAAAACGTAAAAAACCAAAAATCACCAGCCTCGCGGCTACGAATTATTGCTTTATTTGATTCTGAGGATTTTTGGCCAACAATGGCGGACTCGACACTCATATTGCAGCGGGTGTCACGGGCCGGAATACCTCACATCACTTTTCATACATCGGCGTTGGGGGAATGGGAATTCGGCATTACTAGGGATTCACACGGGTTTTCGTCTTTCACTCATACCTCATCTCATTGGCGTTGGGAATCTGAGGCTGCGAGCTCACTGGCGGTGTGGCCAGACAATACTGTTGTTTCTGGAGTCCGCACGAGTGCAAGGAAGGGCAATCACAGGACCTTGAACCGGCATTGCAGCTTGGCTCTCACTGAGTTCTTTCTCATTAGGTTAGGAGGTCTATCGGGGGATGGCAACGGGCGAACATGGCCGTCCGTTGAACACGAAGGATGATGGATACCTTTTGAAGTACTGCTGGCGGAGACAATTTGGTCTTTGCTTTTTATAGTCGTCAATATTGAGAAAATTTGCCTGCCATTGCGATTTGTCCTAGTACTTTGGTGACGTGGATTTGACGCTGTCTGGCTCAGCCTGGAGAAATACCAATTGACCCTATTTACTAGGCCAAATACTGGTTTCCACTCTGCTTCTCCGTACAAAGCAAGGATCTAAACCTCGGACGAGTGTGCGTCAACTTCACTTCCCAACATCTTCATCTCGAACCTACCTCGCCTTGCTCTCCTACCCCTTCCCTTCTGCCTCTTACCTCCTCTGCCGACATTCTCACTTTCCTCGCGCGCGAATCGTTCCCCATCAGCCGCCAGGACTTTGCACGCCAGGGCCTTTACCGATCCGAAACCCCTGCCCTCACCCGTCTGCGCGCTGATGAGCTGCCGTCCCGCGCCCCGCGAGCGCAGGTCTACTAGCTTGCGCATCTCGGCTTCGCTCCGGTCGCTGAGGCAGAGGTAGCTTTTGGCCCGGGTGTGTGCCGTGTGGTCTCCCGCGAGGTCCCTGCCTTGGGTGCGTTGGTCGTCTTGGTCTTTTGGCTCTTGCGTTGTGACGGCGATGCTGTCGTTGCCGGCATTGTCATCATCGTCATCTTCTTCTTCTTCATCAATCGTGCGGCCTTCGACTGGGGTCTGAGGTTCAATGCAGGGCCCATGCTGTTGCTGTTGGTGGAGGCGAACTTCATCTTCCTCCTGTCGTTGAATCTGGATATCACCATCATCATCATCTTGCCCAATCCGACCACTCATCTGCCGCCGCCCCCTCCATTAGCTCTAGTCCAACTCAAAGGCTTGTCGAGAAGACTGTGGTAACTGCTCACGCTATTTCAAGATTGTCGATACAGGCTAAAGTTTCGAAGACGCGTGCTGACAGGAATTGGATTCGGCGGTGTTCTACTTGAGTCTGGTATCATCGATTGGCAAATTATCTTGGCGGAAACATAAGGTTGAGTGGATGAAAAAGTCTGGATTCATTCTTCATGGCGTCCAAGAAACAGTGGAAGACAGTATTTCTTTATTTGCCAAGATTCGAATAAGACCACAAGGCATTGTTCCTTGACCAAGAGCGCAGCAAAGCTCAGTCCTGGAATAGTACATCTTGGTTCTATTCTCTAAAAGACAAGATGATCATGACGCGGCTTTTGTCAAGCAAACGGTGAGAGGGATGAATGGTACGATGTTCCAGACCGCCTCAACGGTTCCCAACGAGTAAGGTTCGACATCTTGTGCAACGTCACCTTCTTTTCCCCTCCGTCGAACGAGAACACCCTTGTACAACGCACCTTACTTAAGAACGTAATAATATTCCACTTATTGGTTTCGACATCTTGCTAGATTTTATCCGCAACTTTAAAGGCACGGCAAGTCAATTTTGATGGTATCACGCATTTGGTACCAGAAAGCTTGTCAGTGAGGTCAGGATTCTCCCATCAGAGCCGAAAGCCGAATGGGGAGTTCCGCGCCGCGCGCGGCGTCGCGGGGCGGGTGACCCGAATTGGCAAACAACCGAGATCCGATCATGATTCCCGATGACAGGATTCCGGATGATGGAGGATCTGCAGGGGGCCCGGCAGCGCTGCGCCGGGGCAGTGCCCGGGCCCGCCCGCCCGGGGGGGGGGGGGGGGGGGGGGGGGAAAAGCGGAAACACACAGCGTCGCTGTGTCCGCGGGGGAGGGGGTGCGGGGGGGGGGGGGGGGGGGGGGGGGCCGGGGGGGGGGGGGGGGGGGGGGGGGGGGGGGGGGGGGGGGGGGGGGGGGGGGGGGGGGAGGTTGTCATACTCCTGTACCAGAACCTCGGGTCGGGCACCAACGAACGTAATGCAACTCATTGCCGGCATTGTCGGGGTAAAAGAAACCTAGCCATCCATCTTCTGACAAATCTTTGCCTCCCGGAAACAAACAAGGAAAATGCGACTCTGATCGCAGTTCTACTATATCTGGCATCCCGTCATGTCGCGCTCGTTCTCGGGCCGCTTACTGCTCAACCTTAGTTTCCGTACATTAGTACCTCACCAAGCAATGTGCCAAGGTCGGCAAGGTAAGGTAACTTTAGCCAAACCAAGACCTGCCGAGGGACGGCTCTGTGAAGTCAAAGTTCCCAAACCACACCCCCATTGAGTCCACAAAGTTCTTTGCCGCTGGTCGGCTCGACACTGGAAGCCGTGATTGGATCAAGTCAAGGGTTCCCGTCGCGTGTGTGGAGTCCGAGTTACCGCTGGGGGGAGAAGGAAAATCAGGAAAAAAAACCGAGAGAACGCCATGATCCCATCCCATCACACTGCTCTCGGGCGCGCGCGGGGGGTGGGTGACGGGAGGGCGATAGGTTCACGTCAAAGAGCAACCATACCTAGGCCGGCCCCCCCCCCCCCTTGACTCGCTCAGCTCTCCCCCTTCACTTCCGCCAAGGATAGGGGAATTTATACTTTTGCGAGATAGGCAGGGCAAAGACGAGCGGACTTTGGCAGTTTGTTTCCTTCCGGTTTCCCCGGGTATGCCGGATTTATTGGCACAAGACAACTTGTGCGCCTGATTTTCCGTGTATTGACTCCGCCTCTGCATGTTAAACACCACTTGGAGTCACCTGCGTTTTTTTTCCTTCCCCCTTCTCCTCACGTCCCCTCTCAGCGAGGAAAAAAAAAATTATACCCAAAACTCGGGGGAGTTTTCTTTCTTGGAAATTTGCTAGATAAGGTAGACTCGGTACCCAGAAGAACGCCCCGAGGGATCAGTAATTACAGTTTTTCCATCGCAACCCACTTCCCCAAACTCCACAAACACAGAAAGAAGAAAAAAACGATGCCACCACCACCAGATCTATCCCGCCACGTCCTCCCAGACGCAGAGGCACGGGAGATCTTCACCAACAAGATCCTCCCCGCCGACCTCCCCGCGACCCTCACCCCGCACCCCCGCCGGTCTCGGCCCCTGGCCGTGCTGATAGTCGGCCAGACCGGCGCCGGCAAAACCCGCTTGGCGCCCGCCGTGCTCGACGCCATGACCCGCACCCACCCGCCCGTCCACCTCATCGCCGACCTCTACAAGGCGCACCACCCCTCCTACGCCGCGCTCGTCGCGTCAAGGGACCCCGCGCAGGCCGCCCTCGCGAGCCCCGCCACGGGCACCGACGCCCGTAGGTGGCTGGCCATGGCCGTCGCCGAGGCCGTGGACCGCAGGCTCGACGTGCTCCTCGAGAGCGCGTGCCGGCACCCGGACGACTTCCGCGAGCTGGCGCTCGCGTTCGGGGCGGGGGGGTACCGCGTCGAGGTCGTGGTCATGGCTGTGCCGGCGGCGCTGAGCAGGCTGGGCATCCTGCACCGGTTTCACGAGAGGTTGCCCGAGGCCGGGCCGGCGGGGGGCCTGCCGATCCGGCTTACGCCGGTCAAGATCCACGACGATTCGTACGGCGGGCTGATGAGCGTGGCCGAGTGGATCGACGAGGTGGACTTCGTGGACCGGGTGCTGGTCGTGCGGAGGGGGAACCTGGTCGCGTTTGCTGACGAGAAGACGTCGGCGACGGCGGGCGGGCGGTTGCGGGGCGAGGTTGCCGAGGCGGTGGAGAGGGAGCGGAGGCGGCCTCTGACCGGGGAGGAGAGGGCCGTCGTGGTGAGGGACCTGGAGACGCTGACGGCGCGGGATGCGCGGTCGGGGGAGCAGGTTATGGGGCTGCTTGAGCCGCTGTTGGTGGATGAGGAGGACGAGGCGTATCCGGAGCTGCGGCCGTTGGTGTTTCCTCCCGAGGGGCCGCGGGAGGCGATGCTGACTTTGGGTGAAGAGGCGTGATGGGAGGTGTTTGTTTTTTTAATTCCTGGATAGAGTGGTATACGGTGTCACGTTTTTTTCTTTGCATGAAGCGAAGCTCTGGATGGATCGAGATTACACGATGATGGCATCTGATAAGGGCAAGGTAGAAGGAGGCATTTGCTGGTAACGATTGGGACGCGACAAGATGGTGATTTTTATGGGGGGAAAAGATATA